GCCCGCAGCAAGGAAACTCTCGCACACTTTGCGAAGTCAGCATCGGTGCACAAGAGCAGGTGGCAGGTTCGAGTTTTTTCTTCCCTCTCCCCCATTGGTCTCTTTCTTACGCGCGCGATGAGTCGTCTGTGTATTAAGTTTCTTATGCACACGAGAGCGACGTTAAAGAGTGTATAGGTAAATTATAAGCTATAAATAAATAAGCAAATGAAGCTTAATATTGTAGTAATGCGTAAAATGCAAAAAAGCTCGTTGATTTATGCTGCTCATTTCGCTGTCGGACAATTCGTACTTTTGCTCGTCGTTAAAAGAAACGATGATACGTCGCCAGCTGGACGCGTGACTTTGACAAATAATTTTGCTCCGTACGTAATAACGCAGAAAATGTACGGAAGGAATTTTTATCACTCTTAAATTTTGATCGATGTAACTGACGTGTGGATCCATTTAGAAATGGTGGAGCGACATCGAAAAATTGATGTCTAGAATTTAGCTTCCCACACGAAAAAGTTCGTGGTTCGATCAAACCCCGTAAAAATGGAAAGTAACTTTTAAAAAATTGCCAATAGGGTATGAACTGTACACAGTGAAAAAGGTAAAAAGCAATTGTGCACATAGTAGCATCGGCGTTACAACAGGTTCACGTGGGGCGCTCTTTTATTTTCTTTTATGACTCGCTCTCCACTTCGAATATATGAAGATATTATGCTACTGATACGAGCTGATAGCCTTTCATTGGAGCTCTCTCTTTCTCTCTCTACGTGCATATAGGCGTACGATAGTAATGCGATTTTATCTCTTTGGATGTACAATATATATTCTGTATTAGTTTAATAATTGCTGTTAAGGCCTAGAAAATATACCATATCTGTCGACGTAAAGTATTTCCTTTTGCCTGGAAATATAATTACATACAGGAGTGCAGCTAATTAAGGTTTAAGTTTCTTATGTGATCGGATCACACAATCGTGTGCTGCGCTAAAACTCGTCGCGTCTTTCATATCATTGTCACATAAATATAACGCACGCACGATATTCCATCGAGTGAAAGACACTCACGCGCTAATTTTTTGTGCTCGACTCGCTCGTTTCTTTATTTCTTTTCTCTCGTGCTGGATCAGCGAAGGAAATTTACTGGATCACTTTTTTACTTTGTTTTTATGATCAACGATCCAGCAAACTAGTAAAACTAGGCTATTTAAAGTATTTTTGATTTTAATATACTGTATTAAATTACAAACTTATTTGAGCTTCCTAAACACGCATATATTTCAAGTTAATCAGTTTGCGTGAGTAAGTCGCATAGTTTGTTCATACCTTACAATGTATTCCTCAAAAGTGCAATTCACGGACGAAAGTACGATTATAAATTGTGCTAGGTACATAATGGCAAACTCATAAATATAACGCTTATGCACAAGAATAATAAATTACAGAATGATTAGAAATACGCATATAACTGCTTTCTTACGCGTCGGTATGTAAGTGTGTGCGTATGTGTATGTGTGTGTGATATTATTTTCTGCTTATAAATCAATGGGCACACGAGAAGCTGGACGTTTATTGCGATGATAAATTGAGCATCAGCTAGTGTATGAGGTATGCATGTAACGGGCTCGTTTCCACCGGGTCGTCGTCGTCGTCGTCGTCTTCTTCGCTGCCGCGTGTACAGCATCGTTTAAAGAGTACACATCCTTACGCTGTATGTACACGATATTATATATATAGGCTCAAGTTCATTATGATGGAAAATATAAACTCTAGAGACTTGGAAAATTGCAAATTAGGATTAAAAATTGATCGGATCTCTCGTAGGGATATTTTTATTCTTGTGCCGGGGCATCTAATGAGCTTACATGACAGCTTGATGTTGGTATAACGCATTTAAACGCACGAGCGCGCCGTAAGTATCGATAGGTATATCGTGACTGGCAACGATCGACCTCGAAGTACATTACACGAGACGCGGCGAGCGACGCGCGTCCAAATTTCATACGTCTCGTCGAAGGTAAACGAGTCGTCCTTAGGTAGAAATCACAGAAGAAACCGGGCCGAGCGACGGAATGATTGTCAGAGCTCGTATATACACGAGCCGCTGGGATGTGTAGCATGTATATAAGCACGAGCTGCTACATTTATACATACGCGTAAGCTGTCGGTAGCAGTGTGTGCAAGTCGAGCTGAGGCTGCTGCTGCCGCTGGCGCACTAATTAAAAGTTTGCTTTCCTCGTGGGAAAAGATACGCTTCGCGAGAGCTTCGAGAGTCGTGTGTGTATGCGTAGTAGCTAAAGGTAGGCATGTTCGCCTGCGTACACAATACACATATGAAAGAAGAAGAAATGCGTGTATCGAGCCAGCGAACAAACGAGGGAAACACGAGTTCCTTCACCGACACCACTGCACCGCATTGCCGTGGCTTGATTCAGTTGCCTATCCGCGACTAGTTTATACTCGTGCATAAGCGCATATAATGCTCGAATTTATTTCATTGATCTCGGGTTGTATTTGTCAACTTTCTTAAAGCTTAGTTCAACCAAAATTCCAATACGTCCTTTTGATAGAACAAAATAAACTAGATAATAATAATAATAAACTAGATAAATAGGGGTTTATCAGTGCTTGATCGCTGCATAGATAAAGCCCTCAGTAAAAATGTCGTGCTTTTTCATAAGTCAAAGCGGATACATAAATTGCAACAAAGAATTTTTGCCTGCCTATGGCCAAAAATTCAGTTGGTTGGATGAAATTTACGATCGAGTTGTATTGTCTCGGCAATTTGGCGTCCGTCTACAGGCTAAAGCGTAGCCGCGTGGCGTTTGCCAAGATCAGGAAAGTTTGGCCCTTTTCATTACGGAGCAAGCATAATACTCGACGTGCATTCGATTCGGAATATTAACTGCACTTTCTACGTATATCCACTCACCGTTTTTGCTTTCAAGTCGGCCAATCTTCCGTAGATATCGGCCCGAAAAGTCACTTTATTGATATCCTCGCTCCAGACCGGAGGATACGAAAATCGGCGTCGGGTCGTACGCCAATCGCACGGATATTTCGCGCTTTATTGGATCGCAGCACACAGAAAAAAATACACACAGAGAGCAATGGAACAAATGCTATCACTGCACACTATTGAACTCGATACAATCGATAGTAAAACTTCACTGAGCTTGTATCCATCCAGAGATGCGCACTGTATAGTAAACCGGTCGGGATGCACGAGGCAGTGGTCTGCACTCACACACTACGCGGCGTCCGCGAACTGCATCGGCGGTCTCGACTCGTGTTGTATCATATAAGAAGCGAAGAAGAGCCAAAGACCGAGCGCGTATAGAGAATATACACGGTATAATGGAGGCGCTCGAAACGAAGCGCGATCGCAGACTGCGGAGCCGATGATGCGCGGCAGCCTTCGAGACCGCCCCGCTCGACTCTCCCTCATGCTCTCGCCAGCCGCCAGCTCTACTGTATACGCTTTTCTGCCGCATGCAAGTCTCCGTGCCTTATACTATATACCTATAGGTATATTCGCGCAGTACAAAGCCGGTGTGTGCCTCGTGCTCCGCGTGCATGTGTATGCGTGTGCCCTGCGTGCGTCTGTGTGCGCGGCTATTACACGAAGGGCCGCTCACCTCCACCAGTTGGCCGGCAGCGACACTCGTTCGTTCGCTCGCTCGCTCACTCGTGCATTCGTTGACGTTCCCTTGGCGCTTGGCAGCCGATGCTCCGCGCCTCGTAGTAGTAGTAGTAGTAGTAGTACTTGTATAGTAGCAATGTGCACGCGCAGAAAGCAGCGCATATACAATACGTCCGTGTGTGCGTGCGTATCAACTGTAATACGTGCGTGCGACGAGTTTGCGTATACAGTAGACACACATGCGAGCTTATGATAAGGACGCAGGACGCTCGACCGGACGACTGTCTACGGCGTCGGTGGCGACGGCGATTCGCTCTATATGCTCGTGCCGTGGCACACACGCACTCGGTGCTTTTCTCCATACGGATTCGTATTATGCGATACAAAAGTTGGCTTAGCCGAGCGCGTGTGCGTGTGCGACGCGCGTATATAGCTTTATTGCTATCGGATGACGCTTTTATATACCGAGCCGTGCCTTGTTGACAATCTCACCGTACTATGCAAATATCTCGTGCTTTTTGTAAAAATTCATAACTCCTTTTCCCATCTGGATTTTATAATGATAAAAGTATATTCGTCAAGAACGCAATGTACACATGGATATTATCTATTCTGATATTTCGTATAAACACAGAATCAATATTTTGTTTTATCTCAAAAATTTTTTTAATGACCGAAAGCACGAATAACTTGAAGCTTGCACGTTTTACTTAGGAAATTTTAACAAAAATTTTCTTCGTTCAAATTCATGTGTGCCCCATTTGAGTACCATCAAGAATTATTTAAAGGAATACAGAAATCAGAGTATGATTGAACATTTTTATTACGATTTTCAAAACTTTTGACTAAATGATTTCTTTGAAAAGTTCAATGATTTCTTTTGATTTGTTATTTCCATCGTCGGTCTTCTTTCTCATAAATTGAAGAAATACTTTAAACAAGGCTACTTTTGCGTAAATTCAAAAAAAAATTCAACGAAAAATATCGAATCCATTTTGGGAATTCAAATTTCAACAATATTATAGATATGTCATGAAGTTAGTTAAGTAATATACGTTACATAATTAAAAGTGTAATTGTACGTGTTTTTCATTAACAAACACATCTTGTAAACACGTGGAAACAGTTTTTATTTCGATTTAAATAAGTAAACTTTAAAAATAGTTTCAATTTATTTAAAAGTGAATGAAACCTTTTACCTCCAATATTTGTATATAAACGTGAATATCAAACTTGATTCCATACATAACCTGTTGTCATATGAAAGTGATTATAAAAATTAACGATATATAAAATTATTCAATCATTTTTCAATCATTCAATAAATACACTATCCTTACAAAGTTCAATCGATAACAGATTAAAAATGTCTGACGCAAGTTTAAGACTCTTCAATTTTAGAGAAGACATTTACGAAGATGAAAGTTGCAGCTCTGTAGGGGCTGATGAAATTTTGTATCCTTGCATCCAATGTCCAAGTATTTTGTCCTGTTCTTTAGAATCAATTCCTAATACCAATACCGACACGGAAGAAATTCGCTTGTTCAAGTTGAATGAAATTTTAAAGCAGTTCATTGATTTATTGAATGATCCTATAAAACGAGAAGATGTGGCTGATATTTGCCGTTTGTCTAGTGAATTTTTTCAATTCAATGGCGAGGACGGATACGTATCCTTTTTCAAAGAGCTAAATACAGATTTAATAGCAACAGAAAACTTAATAACTTGTTTCAGTCAAAAAATATTGTTTTTCTAAACGAAAAATATTCAGTATGTACGTTACTTACCTAGAATTGATGATATTATTGAATTTATGTGCTTACGAGTTGAACAAATGGAACAACTAATCTGTCACATTGAGCAATACTGTCATCTCTGCTCAAAACCTTTCATATTAGGTTTTCCGAAAGACATTAGCGACTTAATAAGCATCGAACACCACTACAGTTTGATGGGATATCTTTTGATACTAGCACCATCGGAAAATGTATTTTTCATGGTCGCAAATGCGATAAAAATACAATTCAGTAAAAAAGCAAATAAATCTAAATGTACAAAAGATATAATAAGTTTAGAAGAAATGCTCGGTGCTTTAATACGATCAAAATTTTTGTTAACCTTTACGAATATCATGGCGACATGTTCGATGAAAATATACCAGAAATGTTTAGAGATTGCCGCAGTATTAACTTCGATCAGTAATGAACTATGTAAGTGTTTTTTAGTTACGATACGATTTAAGTACATACTATAGATTGTATAATTAAAATCATTTCATATATAAAAAATGTTATTCATATATTAACGTAAATTAAAATAATTGACCACATAGATACACTTTGAAAAAAAAGTGGAAATACCAACTTAATTTAATGAACCGAAGGTTTTAGGATTTTGGAATCAGGCGTGGAAAACGTACTACTGATACGAATATATCAATGCAAAGCCTGTTCAAAAGGCAATTGTCTAGATAGTAGCTTAAACGACGAAGAATATTATAAAATAGTTGAGTACAGTACCAAGATTCTTTGGCGTTTAATGGTAGTAAGTCTCAAAAGCAGACCAAAAGACTCTGGAAAGACAGTCGATCCTCCAACCGATACTGCAATGCGGTATGTCGATATTAAAAATTATTTTAAATAAAAAAAATCGCCATTGTAAAAATCTATACGTGCAGGTGCTTACGATGCGCTTTACGCCGAGAGATTTCGCGAGCTTCAAAACATAATCGTAGTCGAAAGTTGAGAAATGATTTGGCAAGTTTGATATTGGCTGGCCAACTACGTGAAGGGCCGTCAGTTTGGCAAATACTGAATTGTGGAATAGCTGAAGATTTAACCGATCTTTTGACGCTTTCTGAATATCCTGAATCGAATAAAAAGTGGCTCAAAACAGTAAAAGTTGAAACTCATGATTGGACTGCGCTTGAATTCAAAAAAATCCTTTTTTTGGCTGTGGTTATCTTTATTCAAAATTACAATGATGATGCTCGAAAGGTAATTATTTTGAAGTATTTTGAGTAAGTAGCATGTTTCAATTTGTATTTATTGCAGTTGCTGCAGAATAGAAAAATAATAATTAGTCTTTTAGAATTAATCGATCTGGGAGCAATAGTCGATTCAAAAGATCTAAAAGAAGTAAATAATCTTACTTTGAAAGTTCCTTGGAACGCAGAGAAACTCTGGCATCTCTTTAAATATGCATTAAATGCTTTATCTTATATTGCTTGCATATTACCAGAGGAATTTTTAGAAAATTCAGGCTCAGTAAGGTGATTCCATATTTTCATAAAACTTAATTATTTTAATATTAATATAAAATTACAGTCGATGATGGTTTTTGTTAAATTATTACAGATTGATGCAGATACTTGAAAGATTTTTAACAATTCATGGTGACGAAATACTTTTAATGTATCTATCTGAAACTATTTGCTCACTTGTTTCATCAATGTGCCAAATTATTGTCAATGATTTTAAAAAGAATGATCTTATTTCCATATTTTCACGTAAGTTTCCATGTTTAAGAAATTAACTTCTAAATCATGTTAGTAACGGTTAAAATTTCTCACAGAATTGATCGAGCAAATATTGAATACCGAAGCTTTAACGTCGAGATATCAATTGATCATGACATACGCCTTGATGTCCTGTGAAACTTTGTTAGATAAATGCTCCTGCAGTCAAGATTTTAGATGCAATACAATGGTAAATATAGCTTTAACGTTACTGAAGAGGTATCTTCATCCAAAAAACGAGGATTCCCAATTGGAGCCAAAATTTCAAATAGCAATGAGTACTTACACATGGAAGCTTTTAGTCACGAGTCCACGAGCTTTCGAAGATTTCTCAGTTCAAGGCGGTATATATTTAATTTTGGATGTTATGACAGAAGCGACATTGCCCGTACAAAACGCTTTTCTTGGTATATTAACCGATTTATATGAAAATGAGTACTCTAAATATTGCATATATACCTGGAGATCTGTAAATGATAAAACGAGCATCTTGTCACTTCTTCCGAAAATTTGGAGAAAAGAAGAGACAATACTAGATATACAAAGGATTAATAAATGTTCTAATGATGGTAATTTATTGAGTTTAATTTTATTGAAATGATAATTAATCACTCATAATTTTTTGAAATGATGTTTTAGAAATAGGGAAGGATTTAGCATTGATGAAAAATGATCATTGGCTTTATTTTAACTTCATTAAAATACCTCATAACTCAAGAAAAGTAACAACTACAGTAGTAGGACCTGCTGGACCAAAAATTTATTACTTGTACAAAAATATAAAACAAGATACAGGAAAAATTGTTCACACAAAAACTCAAAATACTCATTACGAATTTCTCTTGGATCGGATATCGAATGAAGATCGAGTAGGTTACAAGTGTAATTTAATTGCAATAAATATTATATTTAATGCAACTTATTTTCAGGCAACTTTACCAATAATCGAAACATACGATTTGGTTCGCGACGAAGACTCGATGAAAGAAATTTTCCACTTATTGGATCAATTTAAAGTACAACCTTTGAAAGAATCGCAAAAACCATTGTTCAGCGTCAAAGAAAAGTTGGAAGAATGGTCTCAACGCATTCAAAATGAAAAGAAAGTGGAAAAATAAATTTTGGAAAAAATATAAATTTTAAAAGATATTGAAATAAGAGCTAACATAAAACTCGATATAATTATCTCATAATTGTAATGAAACTCCAATGAATCGGAGGGGGAGGGGAATTTTTCAAGTTTTGTTTATTGTTCGAGAGCAGAAGTAAGACTTTAATCAAGCCCCATCATACTTGAAATCTGGAAGTTCTATGCCGATCGACGGTAAAATAGCGATGTTATTATTATCGATCGACGATTAAGCACGATGTACCACTGATCGATGAAGAGAACTTCGCTGCAGGATTCTGCAGTATCTACCCATGTTAGGTCGCAATTGCAGAAATGCCCGCGAGCTTTCGTATTGGTCGAACGCGACGCGGTCCGCTATATATGCTAAAGAAGCGAGCGTTTATACTATATATTGTTCCGAGAAAAATAGAGGGGAACTTGGGTGCAATAGCAACAGGCACTCAAGGTAGTAACCGGAGTTGTTGGGGGCCACTCGCTTCGCTCGCTCGTTTCACTATATGCTTACCAGTCACCGGCTTTCAGTTCGAGCTTGGCTCTCCTTTGCGACACTTCTGTACACACACAACACATTACACAGTATAAACACAAAGCGCACAGGCACACACATACACCGTACGGCAATAAAATTTTATATCCAAACACTTATATATATCCACAAACCCGTATACATGCCGAGTACACTCCTTGTTGTGCATCGTCCGAGAGCGTAATCGTAGTCTCTCTCGTACATATAGTCGGACGTAGCCTTTTTTGGAAATCCGTATCGCGGAGAGCAGCAGCAGTTTGTGCGCGACGAGATCGTCGTTGAAATCTTTCGCCAGCTCTGCGAAACACATCCTCGCGGATTCAGCGCAAACAGTCGCTACGTTGGGTCGTCGTGCATACTATACATACGTACAGTGTGACAGCTCTCTCTTTCTTTCTCCGTAAAAGAAGCATCGAGCCAGCAGAATTGAGTCGCTGCAGCGGGCTGATTTTTCGGCTGCCCTCGGTTGTTATTGTTGTTTTGTTTATGTGGTCAACTACGCGCGAGTGCGACACGATATTAAATTGTGAGTGAGTGTGCAATTGCCTCGCGATTGTGTGCTTCGACTCGTAATACAGTTGCGAAACCTCTCAATTGAACGGATTTTTTTGCTAAATTTGTTTCTGTTTCTCTGCAAGTGTACGTGCGTGTGTGTATGTGTGCGCGGATAATTGCAGTTAGCAGGAGTTCTTACACAGCAAGAGGTTACCAGAACAGCTTTTAAGTATGACGCTTGTTCGACGGTCGCCTCTCATCGCAATTCTTGTCTTTGACCTCATCTTCGTTACGGCTGCACATTCTGGTAAGTGGTACACAGCACAGCCAATAGCTTTATTCTCCACTCTTTTTATTCAATTTTTCCTGTTTCTCTGTCTTTTCCTCTTGCTAATTGAACATATGGTCCTTAATTGTTACGAATACGTTTTTAAATTCGTCTCTCGACGTCGCTGGCCCGAGCTCGACGATATCTCTCTTCGTCCGCGGGCTCCTTTTTCTGCTCGATCGTTTCGCTTGGTATATTCCATGTAAAATCGAAGAATACACGTTGGTTAACGGGAAAGTATATGTGCAAGTGCGCAATAATTCGATGCAGTGATTCACTAGAAACGCATTTGGTATTATGTATGCCGAGACTTAATTAATAGTAATTGAATGGAAAGGATGGTGTTACGAGTGAGATGGCATTTAAGTGACAGAAAGAGGCAAAGTGGCAATAGCACCAACAACAGCTCAAGATAGATCGTTTTAATAAAGCTACATAATGTTCTCAATACGATCCTCCGATGAATTACAGAATACATGGCTCTAGCTTCGTATGCTTTTTTTTAGATTCTCTGGAAGCCTTCATTCATAAATTTAAATTTTTTATAAATAAATACTTTGAGGCCTACTTATTCATTTTCCTATGTAACTAGTTTTGAATAAACTAAACAAAGCGCTGATATCCTTTAAAACGTGTTTTTTACCATTGAAGTCGAATCAAATTAGAAATTTATTTTTGGCAATTCGATATTGAATAATTACAAAAATGTTTTCAAAGATTTTAATGAAATATTCATTTGCACGGCACCCGAAATAGATCTTTTTTATTTGGTATGCCTATACTTTTGTTTTTAAAATTATATGATTGCTAGAAATTTTAATAATAAATGTTGATACTTACTCTATAATCTATATTATAGAATAGGATCATTAATAGATTACCACACTCATCTTTTTTTAAAATTAAGAATTAAACATCTTGAAAATAGTTTATTTTATTTCCAGGATTAAATATTACTCGAGGTTAAGAAGTAATATTTTGTCTTGTATGAAATACAAAAAATTCTACAAAAACACTCATGAATATGCGATTAAAAGAAAGAAAACATCTGGGTAACAGATGCAACTTGTCTGGTTTCATTTTCTTGTTCTTATTTTAAGACTCCTATGAATAAGATCAGAAATACACTATTTTTATTTGTTTTCCAAAAATTACAGACGAGCTCATAAATGCAGTTCAAATTTTGAAGAGTGAGAAATTTTAGAATTTAATTTTTTTACCGAATGTTCCTTTTGTCGTTAAAAAAATGAAGCAACACTGTTCGAAGAGAAAAGAATCATTTCATTACTCGTGATTCAATAATTTTACTGCATTAAAATTTAGATTGAATCGTGCGTTTCTAAAATGAAAATAAAAATTCGCAAAAACAAGATATGTGCGAGAGATACTGATAGAAGCTATTATTCTATTGACGATCGAAAAATAAAAAAAGTGAATCTCTTCTATAAAAAAGAGAAAGAGATGTGTGAAAGTCTGAAAAACTTTTGTTTGTACTTGTGTACGTGGGACTAAAAGTGCGCCTAAGTACCTTTATGAGAAAGTCTTTCACTCGTTGTTTACGTAGATACGAACTCAGAAATTTATGATCAATAAAATTTACGTTGACTAAAAAATTTGCATGAAAAAAATGTAACTTTGATAGTACTTATTTGATATTAAATAATGATAAAATATTTATTAAAGTTATATAGCTTCAAAATGGATGGTTCTTTGTAAAGAGCTTTCTTCGCGCCTTTAAAAAGTAGTTCATAATCTAAAAAAATCGAGAAAAGTGTCGATACTATCATGAGCATAGTAGTATGTATTTATACCACCAAACACCTCAGATTCAGAAATAATGTCGCACATTATCGCAACGCGACATGTTGATCGCACTTGATACATTCGTACATCATCCTCATTCTGCGATGTTAAATTATATCTCAAAAAAAAAGAGCTTAAAAATGAACTTAGCACAGTGTTATCAAATGTCGCAAGGTACTTGTGCTTAAAATAACACTTTTTAGTTCGATCCTTAGTGGTGTCCTTAGGAGTGTTATTTGAAGCCTATATTAATGAGCCTACCACTTCAGTAATATTATGTACTATTAAGCAATATGCTTTTTCTGTAAAACAAGGAATTACTGCACGAGGTAATGATTAGTGAGGAAAGCTCTACTTTCCACATGGTGAAGCATGCTGAAATGGTATTTTTCATCATAAAATGCAGAAAGTTGATTTTCAGATTTTCCCGACAAATGCATAAGTGGAAAATTTTCAATTGATTTAAATATACGTTCAATTACTTTGACTATTTTGAAGTCACATAATTATTTATATCGTAAAATTTTGAAACAATCTATATCTCATATTATTTATGAAAAGTTACCTTCATCATAAACAATGGTGTAATGAAGGGTGATCAAGAAAGGTTGTAATAGAAACTTGTACAGAAGTAATTTCAAAACTTAACCCACAGTATAAATTAGTGCGAATGTAGCAGTTTTATTTTTTGTGTAAACTATTATACACGATTGACAAAATTAAGTTTCTTTAAGATGATTAATTCAATTGTAACATTTGATCGTTTTTCTGATTGATGAATAATATTTGATAAAAACAAAAAATTAATTACACGGAACTTAAGAGTTGTAGGACCGTCAAAATGATCGAAATGAATAAATCGTCCTCAGTAGGCCAATAATGGAATACTCGATCTTAGTGTACTTCATTTCCACTATTTTTTCTGTCTCTTACTCTCCGTAGATAGTCTATTTATGACTGTATTTGCTGCATTAGCAAAAGTAAAACTTTCACCTTAGCATTTTGCTTTCGCTTATTACCAGATTCGGTTCCATACAAAGTAATCGCACGAACATTTTTAAATGGGCTTAAAAATGTTTTTTGAATACATGAAATGTTTTGATGCTTGCAAAATTTTTAAGAAAAATGTATGAAAAAAAAAATATTAATTGTTTTCTTGTTAGAATAATTTAAGTATGTCGATTTAAATAAAAATAATTTAATTTTAATTTTAAAAGAAAAATATTTTGAAAAACAACTTCACTTGTTGAAAGACTTATGCAAACAGTATAACAAAATTGTTGTGTACATCATTTTCTATGTTCGTGAACAACAATAAATATAGGTATGCACATAAGAGACTTTTTCATGAAAAACACAAGGAACTTTTTTGTTTAAATTTTTTGCTGAAAGTAAAATGTTTCATAATCAACACTGCTACTTCTAAAATTAAAGAGAGTTTTAAAATTTCTTACATATTTTAAAAAACCGAGCTTAATGATAATGAGAAGTAGAATTGAGCGGTTGTTTTTAATTTTCTTGAACTCTTTTTTATCGTAGAAGTAGCTTTGTGCACGTCATTCTGACTTACTACTCGTAATTATTTCAGTCACTGGCCTGAAAATCCTCGTGTCCGTGTCTCTTTATGGTTTACGCTCATGCTCGAGTCATAAATGTTGTCTCAAAAGCCACCATGTAATGCATCTTACATTTTTCTCGTCTATAAAACTACAAAGTCGATTTTTATAATCACATGTCATTTTCTAAATTAGTCAATTACGTTGCTTTAATTTCATTAATTTCATAAATTTATATCGCAATTCTGTGCAATATTGAATAAATTTTTAAAAGATACTTATTCAAAACTTTTTCATACTGAAGTTACTTTGCACCATAAACGACAGATTTTTATGTTTGAATTGCGACATGTAAAAGATAAAAAGAAAAATGATATGACGATCATACACGGAGCTAACAAAATTTTTATCATAATTAGATAAACTTCATAGGGGTTCTAATGAAGGATAAATGGCATTCAAGTTTAAAAAAGTCTCAAGAACAAATACAACTCTTTGTCACTTTGAGCTCTTGCAAAACTTTTATTTTTAAAATAAAATAAAAATCGAACTTTAAAGAATTATTTTTTTACCTTCTTTTAAAAATTGATCATGAATCGTTGCTTTTATTTTCAATTATAATATTGTAATTAAAAAAATTTCATGTAGTTACTTTGAAGTTCGTGTTTTATAAAAATTCCGATGCAACTTGTGCTAATATATTTTTTTAGAAAAACTTGTTACATTTGCCTTAGGCTCATGACACAATTCCTCGTATTCGATAAAAAAAATCATAACCGCACCCGTTGTATAATGTTACAATCGACCAATACAAGTGAGACCATTGTTGAGATAATTTTTTATGTGCTTTTATTGTAAAAAAATTGTTAATAATTGTTGTGTACTTAAAATTTTATTTTATCCATGGTTATAAAAGAATAAGTAACAAATAAAGGGTGTTCGTGAATACACATTGAGAAGTGTGCATAATATTCATGAGCGCAAGAGTTTAAGCGACAAAAGACGCAGTGTAAATGCGACTTGTACTGTTGAGAGGGTATAAATAGCCGGCGAGAAAAAATTCATCCTCGTCTGTCCTTATTGCCGTACTTCTGCAGTTGTATAGAAATTGTTTTTGGCCGCATTAGAACGAGCAGAAATCTTAAATATTCCTTTCTCTCAATTATACTATCAAGCTTTAAATTATATGCGATGGGAAAAAGATATAAATGTATAATAAAATAATTAATACTTCCTACAAATATTTATGTATTGAAAAAAACTCGATACTCGGACAGTTATCACAATATTCGCTATAATACGTGGCATCGAACGATCAAAAAACTAGTTTATAACGCATCGGACGAGCTCTTGCGGTTCATCGTGTTCCACCTCTGCGAATTATACGTATATGTTATATATACACATACATTTATACTCGCTATATACCTATAAGTTTCCTGATCGTCATAGTGTTCGCATATACGATGATTCGCGACGACGACCATGTCGGCCTTGACTGCTGATTCTTCGTCGAATGTTTTTTGCTTCTTTTATTTGTGATAAAGTAATATAGCTGCTGCGCTTTGAATATTTACAGCTCGATTGGCGCCTTGCTATATTTAGTCGCGAGGCACTAATGCACACGCAGGTACAGCATATATGTCTATAAAACAATTTGCACGCAACGAGCTGCGGATATTGCTGAGCCTAGGCTAGGTCGATTAGCCTCTAGAAATTATAAATTATCACTAATTTTCCAATGAATTCATTCATTGAATAGAATTGCTTAAACTGTGCTATCAAAGAAAAATTGACCCAAGAACGTTGGCGGATTTTTAACTATGTATCGATTTCTTTTTTGCAAGTCTGTATGCATGTAAGTGTAAAGTGAGAGTCGTTGTCTTAAGCCGGAAATCGTTCGAGAGAGGCATCTCTGCCGCTCATACAAATCACTCGCGCAGCAACTCAAGTGTAGTGTCGACGCTTCTGATTCGAAGAGTGCCGAATGCTTTTCTAAAGTCGAAGAAAAAGCAACGTAGAAAGTGTACCAGAATATTTTTTTCGCTCAATAACAATATTTTATTATTTATTCATTTCTTTAACGAAAAATGAAGTCGCGTTGTTTCAATTAATTTCTCATTATAAAAATTTCATTTTAAATTTCAGGGAAGTCATAAAAAATACTGTTCAGTTGAGAGAGATCACGAGTTATCTTATCAATTGTAAATTAATAAGTTCTCGATAAATATTCAACGCAAAATTATCAATACCGACTTTTAAAATCGATATCTTGACTAATTAATAATAAATATGAAAAAGATCTTCTCTGAAATCGTAAGTTGAAAGTGCATCGATTGAAAGCCATTATTTGCAAGCTTATTATTCGTCAAACAATGCATTCATTCGTGAAATTTATTCATCAGTCATTCAACTTTTTGAAAATATTGTTTTCTTCCAACAAACTACATTTCCACTGCATGTCCCATTATTGAACAATGTAATATTTGAATTTGTTATAAAAACAAACAAGTTTGAAGAGAACTGATAGCACTGGTTAGTAATAAAACTCACTCAAAGTGAATAGTACCATATTACTTGTAGACGCATGATCATTTAAAAAATTTAGATTTTGAATTATTTTGTATTGGTCAAATGCATCAGCTCGTATTGATCGCATGTTATTTCCGGTATATTTGTTATTCTGTACATTTTCTGTAAACTGCATATGCTGCATACGAGTGTGAGCGCGATGACGACCAGAGAGTTACTTTTGAAAATGTAAATTCGTATGTGTGTATAGCTACAGAATACAGATCCGACACTATGCATGTGCAACAATAAATTCCGGAAGTTCTTTTCTTCTCCATTCAAATGCCAGCTAATGCCTTTTCCTGCGTTTGCACCGTAAACTGAATAGTGCATCAATAAATAGCGATTTGAAGATAGTGAAGATGAAGTTGATTGATGTTTATGATTCATTATATCGTTCTAAAAAAATTAAATTGTATTATAATTTAATCTAATAATTTCTTTAATACGTATCAAAAGAAGAAAATAATTTAAGGCATTCTAATAAAAAATTACGCATCGAGAGAAAGAAGTTTTAAACCAGTTGAATTGTGTGTTTTCGGATATAGAAGTAACAAAAACAGATAAAAAATTTGTCACGGGACACGCTGATGAAACTTGCTCGAAGCGTAGTTTACTCATCTTCGGTTTACGAATTAATCTCTTATTTGCAAAAAAAGCATCCCCCCCCCCCTTGCGCGATAAACTATTCAAATGTTTGCAGTATGACATTGCTCCGTTATCGTCGATTCGGAAATTTCTCGGATAAAGGTGCAACGATAAAAGCTGCAATCGAGATGAAAAGAAAAGATGCCCGTTGAAACAATGTATAATCCTTCGTTCTTGAGTATATAAAGCCGATGAACGTCTGACGTCAGTCAATTGTCTCATCTACTTATAATTCGTTTCAGGCATCGCACAGTCATCATCTAAGGAATATTTGCATGATTGTCTTTTGCCAAATGAATTAACATCGCTTGAATTATAAAAGAGTTGAACCTTTTTTTATTGCGTCTAGCTATTGGGTATTCGACTGAGATATAAAAAATTATCGCAGAGAACCATAATAGATTACGACGGAAGCATGGTTCAAGAGATACGAACTAAATTAGATAAATTACAATTTTCTAGAAATTGCATTTCCTATCCGAATGGAAAAATAATTTAAAAATTAAATTTTCAATTTTTTCATGTTACGCCACAGTTATTAGTTAGTTATAATTCAACTGTTCTCGATTACATATTATTTCTTTCACCTTCGCGAATCCAAAACGTCGAACGACTGGAAAACAATCCCATTTACTTTTAAATCCTACAGGGTACAAGTTATAATTATTACTCGAGCTACTCAACAAGGTGGCAGTAAATATTGATACATGCGAGGCTCGTGAAGAGTATCAGTTGTTGCGTTGCTTACGTAGCTACTATGTAGTAGTAGTAGTCTCGTGCGACGATGTGTTTTTTTGCCAAGCTTCACTAAAAACGACGCGATCCGGCGATCGCAAAAGCACCAGCATTGTGTAGCCTAGGAACGAGTGGGTATAGACCAAGGACGCTCGCTCGAATCGCGTATAGTTGCCGCGGAATGCAAATCTCTGTTTCAGCCGAGATGTGTAAATGAACGGCGCGCGCTCCATAAACATCGTGGTAGTAGGATAAAGAATCGAAACGCTCGTTCTCGCGCGAGCTCTTTTTCTCGCTCGCTTTTCAATGCGCTACGCGTCTCTCTCTCTCTCGCTTTGCTTTCGCTTGTGTATGCATCGACAAAAACTCGGCGCAATAATTTTCGCTTAATAAAAGGCATATTTTTTTGTTTATTTGCTCGTCGCGAATCTGTTGGATTCAAATGGACGACTAAGTACAAGTACAGCAGTAGCAACAACAACAACAAAAAAGTCCGAGTACGGCAGAAAAAGCGGTAGTTAGGCAAGCGATAACTACTTTATACGGGACGTGCGCGCGCGAGAAACGGTATTATAGTTTCACTCGCGCGCGCGCGCTGCAAACAAGATGCAGTGCGGCGATATGCCTCCTTTTGTAAAATGTGCTCACAATATATACACATGTTCATTGTGTGCTCAAAGTACCTCAAACGTATTTTCAACAGTGTCGAATGGTATATAAGATATTTCGTCAAAATGTGCAAAGTCATCGATTGTTCCTCGCCGGTCACTTCCTACGATCGAATTTTCGTTTATTATTTTCGAGACGCGTAGCAACATTCGAGTGATTTTCGAGACTGTTTTAAAGCATCTCGAACACCCTCAGCCATGCTATACTTCCTTCTTGTGCCTATACGTACTACGAGCTGTCTTGGTTGCGAGCGATCACCCTTACAGTTCAGCAAGGTTAACGATTCCAGAAGTTCTATATATATACCCAGGCGCTTTCGCGTCTCTCTAACGGGTCTCACGGTGCGTTTTCCATGGAGGAGTCGTTGGGCTGTACGCGTATGCATGTGTGCGTATACGTAGCGCCCGTTTGAGGTTTTCCCCGCAGTATATAAACTCGGACGTCACTCATGTGGAGTGTATAAGGCCTATACTCTAGAGCAGCGACCAATAATATCGCCGAGACGAACGATTTCTCGTGTACGAATTTATATATTTATGAATGTGTATGTGAGGCAGCGATCGATGAATAAAAAAAAATATGACTATAGCTATAAGGCACTCGAGTGGAGGAGCGCCGAGTACAAGTTGCTGCGACTACGCCACTCGTTCAATTCACTTGAATTAAAATCTGATGTCATGTTGTATCATTTTTAACACGAAATAAGTATCGATTATAATCGCAGAGTGGCTTCGAGAGACTTTCCGAAGAGTATATCCAAACAATAGATCTATCCGATCATAAATAATGAAATTATATGCTATCTCGAACAACAATGAGGATAAAAAGTACTTCAAATATGGCTAACGAATTGAATTTTTGCTACTTTCAGATTTCTACAGATACGATGTAAACAAAGCGACGCAAGTACACGAGCACGTGTACGACTTCGAGCTCGATGAGCCGATCGCGGTGGACAGGAGAAAAAGATCCCCCCTGCCGCCTCAGCCTCCGATTCAAGGTTCGCAAGCGTCGAAACCCAGTGCCCCGGAGCTGGTGATCAGCAACAAAACGGACACACCTGCCAATGTTTCCTACTCGACTTCGGAGCCGACCGTCGTGGTGGCCCAAGCCGCGACGGTTTCGCCCATAATCGGTCTCAATCGGACCACGGTGAAACCGATCGGCAATGGCAAGGCTCCGACCGTCTCGATCCCGATAGTTCCCTCGCAAAATCCTACCGCTAACGTTAATCGTACGAGTCTCGATAAGGACTTATCGGTAAGTTTCGTTTTTCGATCGCGCGAAGTGTCGAGCGATGTGAATTCACGTTCGGTAACAAAATTTGCTCGATACAGAAAGTGCACGTCTGGGCCAACCAGACCAGATGGGCAAACATGACCAACAAGGACGTGGAGACGACTACGAGCAACAGTAGCAGCAGCAACAGCGACGCCGATCTCGACTTCGCCATCAACAAGTATCCGGCCGAGGTGACGAACCAGACGCTGCGCGAGAACAACATCCTCAAGTCGGAGAACGACACGCACCAGTACTACAACAGCTCGTTCAGCGTCGACGAGGCGACCGGCAAGGGATTCTGGGTCGATCTCGAGAATCATCCCGATCTCCAGGTCAACAGTCTACTCAGCAAGAGTCATCGCAGAGCGGCTGTAAGTTGCACACACACAAACGCATCCGCAGAATTCCGCCCGCTTCTGTAATTTAGCTATTGTTCAAATTTGCACGTTGGTCGTTTAGACACGTACTACAGGAGAGACTGGCGCATCGCCGCTCTCTCGTAGTACGTGGCGTGTATATTTTTTAACTGCCGCTGCCGCGAAATTGGCCAATTAATCGTGTATGCTCGCGCGCGCGCACGCCTCGCGTATTATACTTCTAGACCATCGTCGTCGTTGCACCGCACGCTTAAACTCCTAGACTGTATTCATGCCGCGTGCGCAGTGCGCAGTTGATTATTTTATTGACTAGTTTTTTCTTCTCCTTTTGTTATGTTTTATCGTATACTCGCAACAAATAGTATACAAACATCATGAGCTTTGAAATGCACATTATACCCTTGCCTCGACGCGATGATATTATTGTGGCGCATCATCTCTGCTATTAAAAATCGTGACATCGAGGAAAAAAAAATCAAATGTACTCACCGTTCGCGATAATTTGCGGTGCGTTTTCCGACTAATCGTCGACATTGTCCGCGATGTTCGACGATGATTTTCGCGAGATATTTTATGCTCGCGCGCTATAGTGTCGCGTCGCAGCGATTCGAGCAAGGATGTTTACCGATTACTCAACTGTTTTTTCCTTTTTTTTGTTCTGCATGTTTTTCTGGCGCACGAGAGCAGACCATCAAGCTGAAGTTCGACTTTCCGTTCTACGGGCACAAGGTGCGCAACATCACGATAGCCACCGGTGGCTTCCTCTACACAGGCGAGTACGTGCACAGTTGGCTGGCCGCTACTCAGTACATTGCTCCGCTCATGGCCAATTTCGACACGACGCTCTCGTCCAAGAGCTTCGTCAAGTATGCTGACAATGGTAAGCTTACTGCACTGCACACGTATGATGCATGTGTGTAATGTAGGTATATACGATCCGCTGCGGGTGCGCGCGGAGAGACGCGTATGGGCGAATTTCGATCCCCGAGAGCGACACCCGAGACGCTGCTGCTGCTCGACAGTTTAAGTTCGCGACGCGCAGTCTATATTTATATTTACACAAAACGATCGCTCGGTATGAATTACGAATGTATTATACAGTACATATACGTGTATAACTCGATCGAGCGTGTTGTTCTTTTTGCGCCGATCGCCGGGCACTGGCACGTTTCTTCTTTTTTTCTTTTTCCTTTTTTCAATTTCGTCAGCTTTTCTATTGCTGCAGCAGCTCGCATTATCGTTCGATCGTGCGCGCATCGCGCGGAGCGATTAAATGGCACTTTGGTATTTTTTTTTTGCTTGGGACGCAGCAATAGGAGTTGAGTCATTTGAGTCGCGAGTCTGCACGAGCCGACGACCGCCGAGCGATTGTCCGTGTCACGTTTCTCTCTCTCGACGACTCGTCATATAAACGATTCATTGCTCTTACTGCTACTCTCTCTCTGCCCATGTATAGGTACTGCCTTCACCGTCGAATGGGAGAACGTCCAGCTGCAAGACAAGCCAGAGGCCGGCGCGTTCACCTTCCAGGTTACCTTGCTGCAAAATGGTGACATCGTCTTCGTGTACAAAGCCATACCGCTGCTGGTGGAGAACATCGAAGACAAGGAGCATCCCGTCAAGATCGGCCTTAGCGACGCTTACATGATGGACCGAACAGTCTTCTGTAGGGAGCCATTTCTTTTTCTTTTTCGTCCCGTTAAAAGTTTTAATTTTGCATGTTCCGACGATCGTGTACGTTACGCTTACGGAGTAACTTTCAACCCAATGCTACAATTTACATGTTAAATATATATAAATTTCACAACTAGCTGGTTACATTTAGACAATCTTTGTTAAATTAGACCCGCTGGCATTAATCCAAGTCTATTTTAACTGCGACATCGCTACAGTTGCTGCGACTGCGGCCATGCGTTATAACGAATGCAGTCTTTTCTGCGATATGCTCGTGAATTCCATACCGGCGCCGACAGTTTTTCCCCCTCGAGCCCACAAATTAATTTATAACAAGAACTGTATACTGATTCATAAATTTTTCGAACGCAGTTGCCCGTCGCAAGACCATCTACGAGTACCATCGCGTCACCTTCAACCGGCAAGACATCAAAAACTGGACGGCCATTTACCTCAAGGCACTGCCGACTTGCTTGCAAATGGACAACTGCAACGACTGCCTGACCAAAGTTCCGGATTTCGATTGCAAGTGGTGCCCCGAGTTGCAAAAGTGCAGCACCGGCACCTTCCGCTTCCGCCAGGACTGGCTGCAGAAGAACTGCGACACGAAGAACATTCGCGAGGAGGCCAAGTGCCCGGCCAGATCGGCCGGCACCTCCTATCGGGAGCACGCCCAGGAGGCCAGAATCGAGAATCACAGGACGGAGGACGGCTCGATAGTCGCCAAATTCAATCCCAACCAGGCAGCCGTGGCCAGTAGTTCGATCGAACATTGTGAGTACTTGATCGTTGTATTTCCGAGCTCGGGGCTCGGAGTCGTCGATCGGAGGAGAGAAAAAAATTAATACGATCGCGTGTGATTTGCAGCTCAAGAAAATATGAGCATGGGCGTATCCGGAATCATCGGCATACTTTTCGTTCTCTCGCTCGTAGCGGGACTTGCCGCATGGGCAGCTTACGCTTATCGCAATCCGCACAGCGCGTCCGGTCAGATGCTCATCAGGGTAAGACCAAATCGAGCTTTCTTTTTCTTCTCCATTAAAATCGAGACATTATATTTCGTCGCGATCTCACGCAAATCGATTCTCGCTTTACAGTACCGACCGAGCCAGTGGAGCTGGCGCAGAGGAGAGGCCCGCTACACCGCTGCAACTATTCACATGTGATGCTGCGACCCACCGGCTCAGCACTTGAGCAGTATCAGCGGCAATCTAAGCGGCAGTAATAGTTAATAATAGAATTGGTGTGTCTCCTTCGTCGTCGGGACTGTCGGACCAAATCAACTGTTTTTTCCTATACACGCAAATTTTGTGCGCGCGCGACCGCGCGCATAAGCGGCTGATGTTTTATAATTGCACAAATGGGGCGGCTAGCTCATTTGTATTTCTCGCGTATGTGGTGCACAGTTGCATTTTTTATATCAACGATATGAATTGATGATAATCATAGTGATACGTGCGCACGACAATATTTATTCGTCGGATTGACTGTAAACTAATAATTAACAGTACAGCTCTCGTTTTGGATTATATACACGTGTACTTTTTGAGCAATGTTTCCGAGCAATATGATTATACGGCGATGTATAATCGAAGAAAAAGCCAAACAAGTCTGAACTTCGAAATTTTTACACAAGTTTATGACAACGTATTTGAAAATAAATTGAAATACATATATTTCAACCGAATTACTTTTTCAACGTTTCTAAGGATTAACAAAAGAATAACTGTAAACGATGTTTGAAGCTTGTTATAAGTGCCTTTTTATGGAATTTTAGGTCGATCATGAGTACCTTGAACGGCGAAGCGCAAATTATGCACCTTCTCAATAATCCATAATTTTACAACTCACAATGTGATTTTTTAGCAGCATATCTAACGTTTCTTTTTCTATCGAGTAGTTCGATTTGTTCAAAGCATCAAAAAATCGATCAAATAATTTTTACTTGTTTGCAAAAAAATCGAATTAAAAATATTCGGTGAGGTTCGTGAATCCTTCAAAAATCAGCACAGTAATGAAAGTTACGTTTACCGTTACGATCTTATAGTTAAATCGAGATTTTTCTTTTTGATGTAAATACTATATAGAAGTAATAGACAATCTCAATGAATCTTCTATAGCGTACTATGAATCAAATTTTTCAAAGAGGAAAAAATAAACTTTATAAGTAACTTATCTTATTGAAAAAAGCAGAGTATTTTAAGGAAAATTTACAAAAAAACTAATGGAAAAATTGTATAGTATATGTATCAAGCATTATTAATTTTTAATTGTATATAGTAGCATTTTATAAATAAATATTTTTATTTAATTTATAAGCGAGAATATAACGAGAGAGGTGCCTATTACAAACTTTGATTTATGTACACAATCCAAATATAATTGATAATTTGAATACAATTACATTTATAAGAGTATAAAAACAATTGAAATTTAATCTAAAAATTTAGTCAAAAGCACTATTAAAATAGGCAAACCTTAAATAATAAACGTGTCAATCTTTGCAAGCAATAAGCTTGTATAATCACAGTTATCTATTTTATTTCAATGAAAAAAATTTCATTGATTATGCAACAAAGTAGTTACATATAAGTTCAATTATACGAAAATTCAATAACTCATTAAGTTAGTTTATATCTTGAAATTGTAAATTTTTAATAAATTGGGATTTATTATAAAAAAAATCTAAGAGCACGATGTACGCTTTGTTGAGTTTCTTTCAACGATATAATGTATATGTGTAGCTGATAGTTTGTGATAATAAATCTTTTAATTTTTACCGGGAAAATTGTTTCTTGTAATTTTATTTTTAGTCAAGTAACTCAATGGACTATCAGAACAAGGCTCAGTACTGCGATTACAATTCAAAATCTAAAACGAATCCGCTATGGACCACTTTTGATTGCTCAAAAAGAGATCGCAATGTTGTAAAATCATTTCTGCTTTTCCATCGCTTTGAAATTTGAGTGTAAGGCAAAGGTTTTGTCCCTTTAGTTTGATCATTTTGTCCTGCATGAAAAATTATAAGTTCTGTAAATGATGATTTTCGTTTCACACTGTTGACACACGATTATTATTACCTCATCATTGAGAATCCATAATTGAGTTTCACTTTCATCATTGCAAGCGACCATCTCCACAGGAGACATGATACCATTCTTTCCATCCAAGCAATAGCCATTGCGACCAATTTGTCCATGCAGCATAAGAACAAACACCTGCAAAATGTTTTTAATATTCAATTATATATCTAAAAGAAAAACCACTTGAAACATCATTTAACGCTCTTACTTGATACGCATCGAGGTAATTGCAGGGAGCTATGAGTGGATCATCAGGTTCTCCACTAAAACATAGACACAGATGAGGAGTCCTTGTGTTGGTATTCTTTTGACTTATAAATTCGAAGATTATAAAAATTTTGGACCCCTTGACTTTTTTTCTGCATTTCCTTACTAAAATAACATGACCTATTTTCGATAAGCTCGTCGTAAGCCTCATATGCATCTGCAAAAAATTCATCGACGACGAGTACAGAGTTTTAAAAAAAAATCAATTATAATCACCGAAAAACCAATTAATTAGAAAAAGAGGCACTCGCTGGCCTTCACGAGCCATTAGTTCTAGACAATTTTAATTTTCAAATGTACAGTAAACTCGAAACTTCTACCATGACACTTTCTTTTCATCAGAGTGAAGACACTGTTATTTTGACCGATTTAAGAATAAGCATGGTAAAACTTTTATTCCATCAGATGATGGTACTGTTTTGTAGCTATCCAGTTTTATAAAAAAATGCAAAATTTAATGAAACATTTGCCACAAATCATTTGTCTAACAAAGATGCCCATGTTAAAGAAAATAAAGTATTAGTAAAAATCACTGATGTGTAAAACTCGAGAAGCTTTTTTAATCATAATTTTGTCTCAGATGCTAAATGTTCTCAGAGATTGGGGTACACTTTTCATAAAATTTTTTTTATAAAGTTTTTTTTTTATAAAGCCTTTTTTTAACTCGTTTCGGCCCAAACGGACGAAATTTCCCACATTTTTTCCGGCGCTATAAAATTTGTGAAAAAAATATCTGAAAAATGTTTAAATAGTCATTTCTGACGTGAAATTTTATGAACTTTTCGAACCTGGTAAGACTTTTACAATGTACAAATTTCATCAAATTCTTCATTATCAAATAAAGAAATTAAATTATAATTATTTTAAGAACATACTTAGTTTTCATAACTTGAAAATGAAAAACTTGTAAAACTTGTCGAAAAAGTGTTATACGTTATAAAAGTTTCAGAAGATTTCAAAGAACATGTCTGAATTTTTTTAGATGTTTTTGGATCATTTTTGGTATTTTTGATTCTGCCCATTTTCAAAAATCCAAAAATTTCTCCGGAAAATTCTGAAAAAATTCAGTGGGCTTTTTTGAAAAATTCTAAAAAATTTTTCTATGTAATACAGTTTTTTTCCTAGATGCTTGGTTAGCATATAAAAAAATTGACCAAGTTTATACATAGTTTTTTTTACGAGGCGCCATTTTGTTGTCCACCTTATGTTGAATTTAGATATTGTAACTATTGGAATTTCGTGTCTACAGCCCATGGACGCAAAAAATATTTGTTAGACCCACGGATCAAGTTTCTTTTGATTCGAAAATTTAGGTCGAATCAAAATTTGTTTCAAAAAAATCGAGTTTTTTGTTGTTTAATTGTTCATAACTTTTGCTCCTCAACTTTTTCGACGATTCTGACAGCGGATTAGAAAAGTTCAAAAAATTTCACGTCAGAAATGTCTATCTTAACATTTTTCAGATATTTTTTTCCCAAAGTTTATAGCACCGGAAAAATATGGGAAATTTTGTCCGTTTGGCCCGAAACGGGTTGATAAAACATATTTTTATAAAAACCTTCACAACCAACAACAACAACCATCAGGACACCAACAACATGAAGTTAATAATATTCGGTTGTTATTTCCCAAGTTGTTCCGATCTTCGCTCCAGATATTGATTCTATTTCCTAGGTCGTAAAAATTAAAAAAATACGTATATGAGTCCACAAGGTAATAGTTGACAAGGTACTGCAACTCAAAAACCCGAAATCGATTTTCAAAATAGTTCTATAAAAATTCTGAAAATATTTCTTTTCGTGTTCTTTGACTATTATTTTTTACTGTCGCTGTCCATCAATATTTCATCATTTATAATTCAGATGCTCAGAGAGTGGTTTGAAGAACAAATGTTTAGATCTCCGCTGCTAGGTGGCGTTTACGTGACCTACCGCCGTTCACGCATGAGAGTAGTAAGGCCGCAGGCATATTATATATGTGGCATTTCACGTCAACTCTCCCAGTGCCGTGCGGCGCGGCAGAATTTATGGTAGTGGATACCGTGATTCATATCCAGAATCCGTAATTAGCAACGGACAATTAAGAAACACAGCTATAGCTCATAGAATGCACAAAAATCATGCTTTTGATCTTCAACCGGCTATGGGCTACCTCTACAACATATACGGTACAGATCAAAATTATAACGATTTTGATGTGCACTTAAGCAATTTCAGCCATAGTTTATGTATATGCGAGGAGCTTTCAGTAAGCTCGCCGCCTAGCGGTTCGTTCACAAACTACTACGTATGCCTAATGTTGTTGTGCCCCGGCAACGCCGATATCATAACAACATAATGCGCTTGACTATCCATAAACGATGGTTGAAGCTTGTTATAAGTGCCTTTTTATGGAATTTTTGGTTAATTGTGAGTACTTTCAACGACGAAGCGCAAATAATGCACTTTCTCAATAGTCTATTAGTATATTAAGATACGTGTGACTTAAGCAGACCATTATAGCACGGCACGGTCAGCACCCAAGCGTAGTGAGGGTGCTAGTGCCGTGTTAAGAATGGGCTACTTGAGTCATAAGTATCGTATTCTTTTCTATAGCACTGTGCTAAATTCACGATTAGGTTCTCTTTGGCGAGATATAAGGTGCTCATAATAGCGTCGTGGTGCAATAATGATCGAGCAGCTTAAGTCACGGCAAAGCGTGCCTTAAACGTGAACTTTCGCCATGCAGTGCTACGAATTACGTTTATCGTTACGATCGTATACTGCAATTCTTACATAAATATTTTTATTTAATTTATAAGTGAGAATAAAGTGAGAAAATATAACTTTGATTTATGTACACAATCCAAATATAATTGATAATATGTATATAATTACATTTACAAGAGTATAAAAACAATTCAAATTTAATCTAAAAATTTTGTCAAAAGCACTATTAATATAGGCGAACCTTAAATAATAAACGTGTCAATCTTTGCAAGCAATAAGCTTGTACAATCACAGTTATCTATTTTATTTCAATGAAAAAAATTTCATTGATTATGCAACAAAGTAGTTACATATAAGTTCAATTATACGAAAATTCAATAACTCATTAAGTTAGTTTATATCTCGAAATTGTAAATTTTTAATAAATTGGGATTTATTATAAAAAAAATCTAAGAGCACGATGTACGCTTTGTTGAGTTTCTTTCAACGATATAATGTATATGTGTAGCTGATAGTTTGTGATAATAAATCTTTTAATTTTTACCGGGAAAATTGTTTCTTGTAATTTTATTTTTAGTCAAGTAACTCAATGGACTATCAGAATAAGGCTCAGTACTGCGATTACAATTCAAAATCTAAAACGAATCCGCTATGGACCACTTTTGATTGCTCAAAAAGAGATCGCAATGTTGTAAAATCATTTCTGCTTTTCCATTGCTTTGAAATTTGAGTGTAAGGCAAAGGTTTTGTCCCTTTAGTTTGATCATTTTGTCCTGCATGAAAAATTATAAGTTCTGTAAATGATGATTTTCGTTTCACACTGTTGACACACGATTATTATTACCTCATCATTGAGAATCCATAATTGAGTTTCACTTTCATCATTGCAAGCGACCATCTCCACAGGAGACATGATACCATTCTTTCCATCCAAGCAATAGCCATTGCGACCAATTTGTCCATGCAGCATAAGAACAAACACCTGCAAAATGTTTTTAATATTCAATTATATATCTAAAAGAAAAACCACTTGAAACATCATTTAACGCTCTTACTTGATACGCATCGAGGTAATTGCAGGGAGCTATGAGTGGATCATCAGGTTCTTCACTAAAACGTAGGCACAGTTGGGGAGTCCTTGTGTTGGTATTCTTTTGACTCATAACTCGAGTGACCATATATGTACCTTTGGGAATAGGAGATTCAGGATAAATTTTTTTCAAATACCACTCGAAACTTTGGCATTTATTTCGCTTTTTCAAGGCAAAGCGTTCAGATAGGTCTCCAACGTTTACATTTTTCGCTCCTGTAAAAAATGTAACAATCATAGCATTGCAGTGAATTACTAAGCGACGAAAGTTTGCTCCAACCTACCTGGATTAACGGCGTAGAAAAATGTTTTCCAGCCATCCATCCAAACCTCAGCCGTGCGGGCATGATTTCGATCGATGGTAGTTGCTGCGTCGTTCGCAGGAAATGAGTACGGAGTGTTATCGCGATAAACGTGTCCGACTCGAGAACACGGTACTATTACCAGTGATCCGTGACACATCCAAATCTAAAAAATTGAGCTCAAAATTAAACGACTGCTCCGGTTGTGCATAACGATTGACTTATTGTTTAAGTGTATATGTAATTTACCCGAAAGCTCATTTCAAGATTTTCGCCACCCCAAATTTCCATGCCTTCGTCGTAGGATCCTACTTCATAAAAGAAACGTTTATCTATTGAGAATAAACCTCCAGCTATGGTTGGTGTTCTGTACGGGTGGTATGCAGGATCAATACTTTTTGCTCCATCTAAAAGTGTTTTTTCGGGCCTCAGATGCCTGTACAAAGTCAGAGTGATAAATGAAATATTTTGTTCATAATCAATTTTATTTACAATAACTCACTGACCAATCAAATTTAATGAACCAGTCGTAGCCGCCGCGAGTTCCTGCGCCAACTTTTTGAAATTCAAATGTCTTGTCACTTATGATATCTATAACTGGAGATGCGACTGTTTTTCTATTTAGAAAAACCTGGTGAAGCAGAGGCTCTAACCATCCAAACGTACACTCGCAATGAGAATCTAAAAAGGTCAATACTTGTCCTCGAGCATATTTGGCACCTAAAAGTCTAGCTCTTATGAGACCTGATCGCTTTCTAAACCGGTGAACGAAGGTTGGAACTGGTAATGTTTTAAGGTAATCTTCGAGGTCCTTCTGAAGATGCACTACAACGTAGTAATTACAATATTAATTTACACTCTACGTTGCAAATAGTGTGTGAGTTTCAACAAACAAGGTTGGAAAATGTTCATTCTAGTTTTAAATTTAAAGCCAGCTCCAGTATGTATATCGAAAGATTTAGTTACCTTGAAATTTTCTCACATTTTTACTGTTGAGTCATACTTTACAAAAATGATTTTATTGAAGAAAATAAATTTTTGATAAAATAAACCTCGAATTGGCCAATTTTTACACTGTCAGAAAATTTGACTCATTGGTTCGATTTCAAAATTCACCCGCTCTATTTGAATGCAAATTAATACCGAAATTTCGCGTTCAGCTGGAGCATGTATTAAGATAAAGCGCGCGCGAATTTTACATAAAATTAATGAACGCAATAACCTCGATCGCTGGCGTCGTCGACGAGGATGATCTCCTTGAGCAGAGCCCGTGGCGATCGATTGATGACCGACCAAACGGTGCGCATCAGCGTGCTCCAAGCCTCGTTGTGGAAGACTATGATGACACTGGTGTCCGGCAACAGAAGCGAGTACCACATTTCCGAGCACTTCGGGTGCCTTTGATCGCCGAGAGTTCGATTCAGCGAGATCATGTTGCTCGCCATGAGATTGAACTCGTTCAGTTTGAACATTTCGCGTTGCGCAAAGTCCTGCAAGTCGAGCAAGTCCACGGGTGTCCCCATCTCGCCCGGACCTTCCACTGGTTTCTCGATAGCTCTGCGAAACCATCTCTTCAGATCGTTCTCGTTATAGGTGATTACTGCCTTTTGGATGTCGAACGATTCATGGACTGGTGTATCGTAAGTATCTGGTATTATAAACGGAACTGAGATCTTTGGAAATTTGGAGTATTGTTTGTAGATCTTTATCGAACAAACAACCACAACAAAGATAATAGCTGCTATTTTAAGCTTTCTAAATCTTCTACCAAGACACATTTTTTTCTATTATTTTAATATTCTTTTTTTCCTAACTAATTTTTATTCTAAATTAAATTGCATTGGCCTATAAATCCCAGCCAACATTACACTGAAAAAAAACATTAATAGGCTTATTTTATGTTTATAATTAAATGTAACAACTGAGTTAATCAATGAAAGTATCAATGTTTCAATTTTTTTTTTAATTTTTAAGTTGAACGTATCTTTTTGTAATAATTTTTTAATAAAATTTTTGTTAAAATTAATTTCTGAAGTAATGGATCGAATTTTAACAACTTACATACATTTTACCTATTCTAAATAGTTGACATCAAGGTGAAAAAATAAATAAACTACACCAGCACTTGCCTCGTATCACCGAAACAAAGTCACAACAAAACAGTTCATTTTCCACCGACTCGATTTGTATTTTTAAAACCGGAGAAATACGCACTCTGCTTGTTTAAGCATCTGCCGATCGACGCACATCTCTGCAATCACTGACCGACTTGAAACTCGCGAATGAGTCGCGAAAGTACGTATAAGCCGTATACGTGTGGCATGGTGACTTTCACGTTACAACAGCTGTACAAAGATTCTTCCCACCTTTTTTTCATTACACACATATAGTTCACTACATAATTATTATGAATTATACATTACTACTTCGTCTCTGTAAATCTAGTTGCTCGAGTAAAAATTGTACTTGAAGTGGACCTTTCGTGAGATTATTATACAATATACTCTCAAAACCATACGTTACTATAATAAGTTTACCTATAGTTTTCATAGATTTTAAAAACGATTGCTATTTTTTCAGTGAAAATGATAGACAATGTCCGATCGTTAGATGTTTTTATCTTATTTTTGATAACACTAGATTGAATTTTGAGACACTTTGCACGACTCTGATGAATGAGAGTCAAAGTAAGCTCATGAATATTCATGCGATATTTCAAAACAAGTTTTCTCTTTGTCGCACGTTTTTTATGTTCGTGAACAAGTCTTTAAATTCAGTTTTATTATTTGAAGTTTAAAAATATATTACTGCATATGTTTTTTCCATTTTATACGATGATTTTAGCATACTCTTTTACTAATTCCAAGTATAAGAAAACTCAAAATTGTTTGTAAAGAAGGGAAAATTAAACAAATAAACAACTCGACCTAGATTTCTATGATTTTCGAAGTTATTATCAAGACAATGTCAAGTTCTTCTTATAATTTTTAATTTCAGCAAAATTGATAAAATATTCGATGTGATGATAATAATCTATCCAATATGTGTTATTTACCTCAAGTTAGTTTTTATTATTACAGGGCTTTCAAATATTGTTGATTTTTATAATCACCCTCGATAGTTCTTATAGAGTTACTTGAATAATCTAATGCATATCGAATTTTGTGAATTAGGCTATAAATACTAAAACGATATTTTTGCCTAAAATTTTAATGTTAATTTTTGAATTTTTAATTTATATAATACTTTACAGTAATTGAAATAGTCTTTAAAATATTACTATGTAATTAATTAATTCGTATGGAATAAATTAAAAAATTATAAGTTATAACAGTGGACAAACAATTAGTAAATAAAAAAAAATGTCACTAACTTAACTATTATTTTTAAAAAACGTTTTTCTAAACTTCTTCAACGAAGTGGGTATTGTCATGCACTTAATTATCGGCAATTACTACTGGCTGCCGCTGCCATCGCTATGGCGCACGCATTCAGGTCCATAGCAGAACACTCGTTTTGATATTTTGATTTCTGCGTACACTCGGTCGTTCGGCATTTCAGTGAAATTGAAATGTTAAAGTAGTTTGGCCGAATTGACACCTGCAATATTCAATTAGTTGTAAATATGATTTCGCGCATTGTACGTATTGATGTTCATATTCTTTGAATAAATTTACAAATGATTCAAATAATCGGCGTTCACCTAACCTTTTCATTATTTTGTGCAGGCAAGGCAATACGCTGTAGCGGCTGCAACTAAAATTCCAACAACAAACAGTGTTCACATCTTGAATGGAAAATGTTCGTTAGCTGCTGTTAACAATAACATCGTTACAAATCTAATTTCTAATGTTTCCAGGTACTTTTATAAACATTAGATCGTTCTGTAAAAAAAAGCAGCTCATCATCTTTTGCATAAAAATAACTTCATTGTCTTACTCATTTCATAGGCCAGATTCTCATACTGGAAAATGTGAAACTCAAAAAAAACCAAGCATAGGCAGCAGATGCATTAGTTTTTTAACCAAATGCTCTAGTGGGTTTCAGTTGTCAAAAAATGTTCAAAATCACAATGCACTAAATAATGTACCATCTTCTGCTATGTAAGAATTGTTGGAATTTTTAAAATTTTAATTAACACTTTTACATCATACTTTCATATAATTCTTCTCCCAAAACTTTGAACAGAGCTTTGTTTCATACAACATCACAACGAAGTGATCTGATGGAATTTTTTGACGTAGAAAAGAATTGGAATAAGCAAAAAATTCAAACTGGACGTTCATGGCGAAAAGGTGAATTAAGAATTAAAAGCAATGAAGACTTACATAAATTATGGTAAAATATATTATTAGTATTTTATAAATCGAATAATTAATAATGATCTTACTAATTAATATTCATTTTGATTCAAAGGTATGTTCTGTTAAAAGAACGTAACATGCTTCTTACAATGGAACATGCATGCAAGGAAGAATATGAAATATTTCCTAATCCAGAACGAATCGATAAAGTTGCTGAGAGTATGGAAAATATTGAAGCTGTTGTTCGTGAGAGAAATGAAGCCTACCATTTATTAGAAATTGGTGAAAGTGGAGAGAGGCCAGCTAAATATATTTCTAATGTTCTAGGTAAGGTGTTTTGCTAGAATTGATAAAAATTTTAAATTGTTCATCATTTTGATAACTTGTCACTTTAATAAAATTTACAGGAATTATCCAAACATACAGATATTGTCAACACGTCATACCTAGATATATGAATACTAGTTGGAAAAAGAAGCACATGTTTTATTACAATGGTTATGCAGTTAGGAAATTCCAAAATCTTTACAGAGAAAAAATGTGGAACCAAAGAAGGAAAATGCTTAAGTAAGAAAAAATAGTTATTAAGTAACAAATATTTGAAGCAAATTATAGTAATAAATGCTGATATTCTAATTTAATTTTCAGCCGGGAAAAGAATACTGCTATTGCTCTGATCAAGAAGTTCCCTAGTCTTAATATAGAGGCTTTGAAAAAACAATATCCATCTGTTAATGTTGATCGAATTTTGCAATCCAACAAATTGAAATCATTGAGATTAGCATCTCGAAGTAGATAAATGTATTATTCTTCTAACTACAAATACATGTAATAATTGTAAAATAATTATTTAATCTATACAATCAAAAAGTTTTAATAAATCTATAAACCGAAATTTTCTTTATTATATTCACTAGTATATCATGTAACTTTATTATTGAAATTTCATCATACTTTTACATATATTTTGAAAAATAATCAAATTACAGAGAATTTTAAAAATTAAATTTAACTGTCACAAATCGAATCATAATTCATGAAATTCAATTTTTTACAATAAAGTAATAATTTTCAAATAATGTAATTACTGAATCATGGTATAGGTAAACATAATTATTGAAAAAATTGAAGTGTTATAATCAAAGCATATCTTTTAGATACCTATAGACAAATATAACGTTGAAATTCACTCAAAATATAAAACATTATAAAATTATATAGAAATTAACAATTTAAATAATTTAATTTAAAATTAATTAACATCAACAAATAACCAATTTCAAATTAATAAACTAAAGGTCGTCTGGTCCGATCAATACTGTTCATTTACACATTGATTCCTTAAAATGTTTTTGATAATTTGGAAGATTTTATTCTGTGCCAACCGCGCAATAAGTTATTTACTCTAAAGCAATGGAGGAAATAATTTTTCCTCGCATTTCTAACGTGTCATATTCTGTTAGTGTTTTAACGTTGCGTTATTGATACACGTACAAGATACAAAAAATATAACTGCAAAGCTAAGGCATTTTTAATCTGTCTTAGTATATGAATAATGATAATCTTTCTTGGGTTTCTAATGAGGCGACAAATATACCTATATTTAAATTCTGCTCAAATAATCTATTGTATCTTTGATAAAAGAGTACAAATAATATGCTGGAAAATGCACCATTGCTATCTTCTAGCCACTCTTTTGATAAATGCAGTTAACATTTTATATAACATAGACACTTATAATAATTAATGTCATATATAATTTATATACAGTCTTTATAGCAAAATAAATAATAAAATATTTAAATACGTTCAACGAAAACAATGGCGATCTTGGTCTCATGTAAAGTTATATATACATAACAAAAGTCAAGTTACACCTTATAAATAAACTACATGATCATTAGAATTTCGGATCGGATCTTTTTTTAATAGCTTTGCTATGTCTATGATTTATATTTGATTATTTCGGCTAGCAAAGTTAAGATGATACAGCAGATCCTTGACTATTTCAATTAATTGGACTTAAAATAAATTTTTTTGAAATTCTTGATAACTATTAAGAAAAAATGATTTAAGAGCATGAAATTCGAATGTGGTGAGAAAATTTATATACTAGTCCGATCCTAATGGTAACAGATTTTTCCACGCTTGTTCCAGATTTTTATTTGCATCAGAGCAACGATGATGCAGTTTATCCTCCGGTGAGATAGTTGATATTGGAAAATCTCCCTATAAACAATATTAAAGTTCCAATATATTATCCTTCAATAACCTATATATTTTTTATATTACTGCTTGAAATTTAAACTCACCAATTTAGCAGTAGTCCAGAGACTTTCAAGAACTGCTCGAAAAGCACAAAACTCTTTGGAATTCGTAAAATAAACTACCCAATCACCGCTGTTTTCATGTACCTCTCTGCACGCGAATTCCTGTTGAAATTTGGATAAAAGTTAACTAAACTTCTGCGAAATCTTACAACTTAAATTATTGTTAATGAAAACTGACCAATATGCACCAAGATTGTTGAGCAAGAGGCACTCGGAACGCCGTAAGATCCTCGATACTAGCACAGGAAAGAGTTTGACCTCTCTGTGTCCCCGAAAATACTTCTTTCATTGTAACCATATGCTTTGTAGTTACAACTAGGCTACAAGGCAGTGGATCTCGTTTTTCTGAACAGTCATAAAGTCCAGAAGCACTTTGGACAAAACTTTGAAGCCACTCTGATGCTACGTACTCATCTGGAGCTGCAAACTGTAAAACAGAAGCGATAATTAGCAAATACAGAAATCGTGAATAAATTTTACATTCATAACTTAATAAATGAAGTAAGCAATGAATAGTGGAACTCACTTGATAAGCTTTATTAGGCTTTAATAATATTTCAAATGTATGTGGCCTGTGAGAATTCGGTATTCTTCGGCATCCCATACAGAGACCGCCTTTAAGTGGTATAGCACGTTTTGGTAGTCTTTGATTACTATCGGTAAACATATAGACGACACCACCTTTGAGTACAAAATATCCCGCTTCCCAAGGACTGGTGGATGCATTCGGGAATTGCGTTTCGTAAACGTGAGGCCGAAACATTAGGTCGCCTTCCTTCGTAGGACCGCATGGTGTCGTGGGTGGCGACATATGATCGTCCTCCATGTAAATGAGGCCATAATGTTCGATTTTCTCATCCTATACGATTATTTCAAGGGTCATAACTCGTCAAAATATTGCATTAGAAAATATGAAAATTGATTAAATTATTTACTGGGTGAACAGCCGTCTCGGCGAGAATGGAATGTTTGAGCGAGTGCATATCGTCGTAGTTAAGTTCCTTGACCGCCGGCAGTCTAGGTTTCGACGGCGATCTTCTCATAGCCATCTCCAAGTGTGTTATCAGCTCCGATGTAATTTGACTGCTACCAGTTGAAAAGAGGTATTGCATCTCATAATCAGCGTTCGATATGAGTATCGTTTGGGCATTGGGTCCAATCTGAAGTTGTAAATAGTCATAAGCATTATTCCGATGCGCAACCAAATTAAATACTTAAATTTTTTAATATCTATTTTATATTTACCAATATAACATCGAGTTCGTTATAAGGAATAACGAATTGATTGCTGTAGGTCTGATCGCTTTTTATACCGGTCAGGTACAAAGTTTTATCGGTGAGCAAGGCGAGCATCGGTTTGCTCTCGCCGTTCGTCATGTACGAGCTGCGAACTTTGTAAACTTTGTAAAGCTGCTCCGTTTTATCTCTGTAGATATTTTTTCTGAACACTTCTCTCAGCTTGAGATTAATACGCTCGCCACTGAACGTTTTCTTGCTCGCAGATGTATTTTCTTGCACTTCGCGTTCCAGTGCAGCGTCGAAAGCACGCGAAGCGTCTTTGTCCACTTTAGCACCTTTCATTCGCAAATTATTGAATTTTGACGCGGTCTTACGATCCTTCTTTGGATCCAATTTGCGCTCCGTAAGGGAGCGTAAGAATCGACTGAGCAACGATGTTTTCGACGTGGCTGATCGAAGTGGTGGCACCATTAGACGATTTCCTTCCAGCGATAAAATCGGAACGGAGTAGCGTTTTTTTATCGGCGAAGCGAGATGCCGAGGATTCGTTTGAGTTATATTGCCACCGGGTTGACTCGGCCCATCTACGCTGTCTGAGGTCGTTGTTACGCTTTCGAGATCAGACCAATCGCTTGAACTTGCGTATTTTGCCTGAAATAACAAATAAAATCATTGAGAATTTAAATGAATACCATCACACTAGACGTTAATTTTTACAAAATGACTTTATGAACGGTACAGATCAAAGAATGTCTTACTTGATGTTTTCCTAAAGGCATTCTAGGCATTTCCAATTTAACGAATTCCGGCTCTTCGACGATACTCTCGAACTCTTTTTCCTCGACGTAAGCCTCCTTCGCCTCGTTTTCTTCGAGTTCGCAGAGGATTTTTGAAAAAGCGGGATCTTCCTGTCCTTCGGGCACACCTCGTTCGCACATCATGTCGAGCTCGCAAACGGCACACTCGGCCTGTTCGGCTTCGGTTTCGGCAATAGCCGCCCCGACCATCGGCTCTCTTGATTTATAATCTAGATCGTTACAATTATCGTATCCACTGAGAGTCGATGACGACGAGTAGTAATCGGAAAACGTTTGTCGAGTCGGCTGGGCGGCTCGCTCGATGAATGACGAATCGCCATGCGAACACCAGCTGTGCCTAGAAATGTCAATGCAATATTTCAATTTGGTTTGATGAAAAATAGAATCCATGCATAGGTAAATATAGAGCCACTTACCGGACTTTATGAGTATTTTTTTCAGTCTCGTTGAGCGGAGGACACGGTTTCGAATAAGTATCCACGTAATCCTCCTCGTCGTCGAGCTTCATCATCTTGAAGATATCCTCGTGGAAGCTCACGCGCTTTTTCACGTCGCCTCGCTTCTTCTTGCGATGGCGTTTCTGCACGTGCGAGTCCGAGCTCGACGTTGACAGTATGCCGGTATCGGTAACATTGACCGTATTTAAAATACTATAAGGCGCCTCCGTATTGTCGCAGTCCGAAATCGTCATGCTGAGTTCCAGCAGATTCGTATCGTTATTGATGACGTAGGAGCTGCCGCGATGATCCTGCAGAGGTTTTTTAAAGCTGAAACCGTCACCGTTGAAGCTCGAACGCTGCTGTAGACAAGGTCTGATTCCATTGTTCTCGGCATCCGTACGGGGTTGCTGCTGCTCGTGCTGCTTCGAATTGCCAAATTTTTCTTCCAAGTAGTTGTAATTCTGAAAATTTTTAAATTTTCTCGTGTGAGGTACTGATTGTCTATTATCATGCGCTAATTGGATATCAATTAGAATTTTCAATCATTTATCATATCTGTAACTATCTGTACCTTGACTGTATCTAGACTCGAGCAGTCCATTTGTTCATCGTCGATTTCACCGACGACGTTTTGGTTAATTATGTCGCTGTTCGTCACGACGCTGTTGTGAAACTTGCCGGCAGAACCGTTGTTGGACAATTTGGCCTCGTCCGACGAGTGGCTGGATGACGAAAACAAATCCGTGTCCCTATTGTCGTTCTCGCAGTCGTACATTTTACACCTGTTGTAATGATATTTGGCCGCATTTCCCGTCGACCAATCCTCCTGCAATATAAGATAATAAAGATTATGTATTTTCGTCGCGATTTATTTTTCAACTCATGGCGCTTGCCTTGTATCAATATTCGACGAAAAAATGCGCTTCGCATAGCATTCGACACTCGTGGATTATTGATTCGTACGAATAAATATTATTAAAATCAACCAGTCTTATCTTAAACTTTTATTATAATTATTATTTTTTTGCAACGTTTAAGATAACTAGTCGATAATATCGTTTAGCGCAAATAGTTGCCTTAAACGTTATCGATGATACGCGTGAAAATCTTAACTTCGGTTTACCTCTTTGTAGCCGCTGTTATCGGTATCGTTAGAAGCGTCCATATCGGTATCGACCCCGGACGAGAGGCTGCCCCGTTGGCGGCAGAGGTGCAAATTCAGCAAGACACCCGACGGCGAGCCTCTCATCGGCCGCTGCGGCATGTAGTTGCAAATATCGAGATACGTGACATCCTGCACATTTCATAAGGAAAAACAAGTTGTTCATTGACGAGTTTTGTAATAAAAAAATGATAGTGTCTAAATAAATAAACTTGTTTTTATACAGAATTTGCAGTATCGTCAAATTAATCAATGCATGTTTATAAAAGCGGCAGTTCATTGGTGTACGAGAGTTCGAGTCTAATTATAACTATCTGAATGGAAATGTTTTCCTTCGCATGTTTGCTCGATTTGCGCTAATCCATGTTCTCGTTAAAGTAATGCTATACATAATATAGGCGTGTTAAGCTGAAACATGAAGTTTTACGGTGACACCCTCTTTAGTTTCCTCTTATCGCAAATTTTCATATACTTTCACAGGCAAAGATTTTCCACTGCAATACGTCAGAGAGATTATTCATCACGTTTATCAAATTGACCACGCAGCAAATGATTACAGTAAAGGAGAGAAAAATAAAAAGCATACTACGATCAGCCACAAAAAGAGAGTGCTATATTGTAGCTGTATGCGATAACCTGTGATGACCTTTTCTCACAATTAAAGATAAACGTGCCTGTAATGAGCCAACTTTCTGTTAATTACCATTATTAATTACCGTTCTCAACACTATTAATTATTATTTACAGGGACGAAATTGATGTATACTAAGTATTCAATGGATGTTTATCGGTCATCGATATCATTGGTAAATGATCAAACTTGTTACATTTTATCTACTCACTGCTTACTTTAACGAGAACAAGGATTTTTGTTAAGCAAGTGTTATATTATTTCATTAACTGATATAATATAAGTGACAAAATAAGATTTGCAATTATATTACATATATCACAACTGAATGAAAGTTTTGACTCATCTAATTGAATTTATAGGCTGAAACTTATTTGTATGCTTATGATTTAAATTTTTAGTAAATCCTACCATTTTAATTAATACCAACATTTATTTTATCAATAAATTTGAGAAGTGAATACAGTTACAGTTATATATTTTCATAAAAAGTGAAATAAGATCATAAAATGATATAATCTCAGTACATACCAGCTGCAGTGTGAATGAAACATTTTCTAATCCTGCCAAAAGATTCACCAATTGATTAGTTCGATCAGCATCTCGCACAAGAGCATGGGGAAAGTATTGTTTCTTCAAGTTTTTAGCATCCCTTAACATGCATGCTAAATAGCTCTCAAAACTGCCTTCACTGAGTGTATGATACAGCCATGCTCTTCCTGTAAAGACAATTTTTGATAAACTTTGATGAAATGATTAATAATCTTATACATACCTTTTCCTATAGATGTTAACACATTTTGTAGTGCATGTATAACGACAACAGTATCTTGATGACTAAGTTCTCTAACGGTACCCCAATATCCATGCCGCTCAACACGTAAACCATGACGCAGGGCTCTGTCTAACCAGTATACAAGCCAAGAGTCACCGTCAAGTACAACAGATCCATGTAAACTTTGAATGTAGATCTGTCAAACAAAATTAAGTTTTGTTGAATAATTATGTTAATATAATATTACAATGTTGTAAAAAAATACTATATTATTTCCATAATGCGGAGGTTATATATGTATCATTAGTCGTCTTACTATAATACTCAATGAAATGTTAAATATGTTTGCAACTGGCAGCTTATGACTAATCTTTGATACAATTAATTAAGTGCAAATTCCATTGGATGTCATTAAGCCAGTGTAAAACATTAAAAGATATTTTCGAATTTCACAGATAGGCAACTACGACAGAGCACAAATCACACAGGTCATACTTATCAGGTGTCCAAGAGGGCAACAGCTGATTAGGACAACAAATACATTTTTTGCTCTATCGAGAGTCGATGCAGAAAAGTGCAGTTCTGCTAGACGTCACTGGATTGTTATAATCACAACAGCAGCTTCGTGCGGCATACAGCGCCAAAATGAGCGTGTAAAAATGCGCTAAGCGGCTAATTTTGTAACTTCCAAAGTTCTCGAAGTACTCATTATATTGAATTTCCATTTATTTCAATTAAACAGAATTTTTAATTGAAAAAGTTTTGATCTATTTCGTGATGAAAAATCTCTCATTTTAACTAGTAGGTAAATTTTTTCACGCACGCAACAAAACACGCACTCGTCTCTTCATATTACTATGAATATCTATTGAAATTTTTAAATCCATCACGAGAAACAAGCCATTAAAATTTTTTTATTGAAAAATATCCATCAATCGAACAAACGGATTAAATGTATCGGAGAAAAGAAAGTATGAACGTTGAAAGGTGATCGGAATAGCACGTCGGAACGGGGAAAAGATGTCTTATCGCTTCGAGAAAGCCGTAATTTATCAACTATAGACGTTGAGACGCTCCGATAGTCATTCGTAAGAGAATAAGCACATCGAGCATGCAGCTTAGAATGTTTATGCCGAGACGATAATTTAAAAATGACAACGAGCCGGGACTGAGAGAAGAAGCTTGCGAGAAAATTCGATACACATCAAGGAAATGCTGCAAGCTTTACAGTACATTATAATGCGGTCGTATGAATTATTTTAAGCTTTTTTAAAAGTCGAAGATTTGTCCTTAAAGGGAGGTGATAAAGAATTCCATGCCTGAATGCCCTTCAAATGAAACGGGACGTGCGCGAAATGCGATATTAAAGTATTTTCGTTGCAGATGCGATGCAGGTAACACAGTCAATGCAGGACAATACGGCTAAGCTGCTCTCGAGCTTTCAACTACATAAAGAAGAACGAATTATAAGAGTAGCCGTGGTTAAAAAAAACACGTTAAACAACGATGAATTCAACATTAACGGAAAAATCGATTCAAGAGAGATAAGTAAAATGATGCAAGGGTCGATTGTTCACGATTGATTTTAAAGCTCTGTACGATAGAGGGTCGCGCGTCAAGAGCTTTTGTCTCGATCTTAATACCTAGAGGTGTTCCATCTTGGCTATATCTCAGCGAAGTTGGAGTGCGCACGGAAGTCGAGTAGAACAATCGTCACTCACCAATTTGACGGCCTTGGTGAGCTCCTGGAGTATCCGCTCCTTGGAGAGGACCTTGTCCGTGCAGAGCTCCATGTCGGCGACATCCTGGCCTGGCATCTCGAGATTCTTGGCCTGTCTCGGCGCGTTCACAGCATCGCAAAGTGGATCGAGAAAGAGCTTGGTGCGATCCTCCTGTCGCTCGACGACACCTCGAAGCTCTTCGACCTGCTGCGATTGTTGTTGCACCTGATGACGACGACGAGGATGATGATCCTCTTCTTCGGTCGAATCCAGCAGTGGCCCTTGGCCGCAGATCTGCGCCTCCGGACGACACTGCGCAGGCGTTCCAGCGACACCACTGCGACTATTATCAATGCAGGCAGCAGCACTGTCAGCAACAGCAGCAGTAGTAGTCGTGGTCGTAGCAGCAGCAGACACTTCGTCGCGTATCAGCCGCATGATCGATCTTTTGCACGAACCTGTGCAGCTCTACGTGCGCGCCTGTATAGGTATATATCGGCGGCCTTGCGTGTGTTCGTATATAGCACTCGTTGTATACCTATATACGAAGCCGAAACGGCAGTTGGAACAAAGCCGCGGCGCCGACGCTTGCGCGCTCGAGCTTTTCCGACGGTGCGGTGGTGTACCGCGAGCGAAGCGCTAGATTCGAACGCGAGCTTTCGTTCCGGACGCGCTGACGGATGCGGTGAAGCGACGAGTAGCTTGATTGACTCCGCGTTCGTCGTCGTCTTCGTCTCTGCCGTCCGCAAAAGACTCGAGGATTCGAGGCGAGTAAGTCGTTGCGCGCGTGCCGACTGCGAATTAACGATTGGCGTGGCCTGCAGCTCTGCGCGCGCTTGATCGAAATAAGCGCAGCTCAAACTGCCGAGCTTGCAATCTTCCGATACTGATTATAGTATGCGTATGGCAGCGAAGAGAAGAGAAGAGTCGATAGTGATAACGTGTTTACTTCGGAATATGAATATGCATGGATGTTTGTGCTTAACAGCTCATTAAGCGAATGCGGAGCGAAGCTCGAGGCGGACAATATGTGCAGGGGTCGAGCGACGACGCGAGCCAAAGTTTCCGAAGAAAAATCGCGAGTTGCTCCGAATCTCTTCGCTCGCGATTGTTGCTCTCGCGCTCGCGGCCGACGACATCTCGCTTGGCTTCTTTCGCCGTCCGATCCGTTTGGAAAATTACGTTTTTTTAGCTCGTGTCATGCTGTTCCTTCGTCCTCGCGCTCGCTCCGCGATAACGTGCGTTACGCAACGATTATACGAACTATAGGCGACAAATCGTAAAGTACGATGTAATGCCATCGTTCAAATTCTGACGATTACGTTACTGGCGAATCGCGCTCTGTGTAATTTCGAGCCGCAAGCCGATTCTCGTGTCAGCGGTATCGTCGGCAATAAATGTCTGTTGTTTTTGGCATTATATATCGGCCGTACTATACGCGGTATCTTCTTCGTCATCTTTTCATCGCGTGCTCGTTTTACAATCTCACGTTTTCAAAGTAACAGCGATACCTATTTTGGATTTTTGAAGAAAAAACATTCTTTTTTTGATCGGTCGCATTGAAAACGAGTTTATTCAAAATTGCTCAAGTTCATACAATTTTTTCGCGAAAATATAAGGCAAATTTCAATAGTCGTGATTCTAAGGAGACAATAAAGCCATCATAAAAATGATTTATTTCAATTGCATTTTCTGCAACTTCGACTAAATATTTAAAATAATTTAATTTATAGGCGAGAAATATAAATCTAGTTATTGATTAAAATGTTGATCATTATGAGAGGAGTATATCTCATTTATTTTTCATTGGTAAATTATTAAAGATAATCTATTTAACAATGTAGTATTTTTTTATTGAAAAAAGTTTTTGAGAAAATAATTTTTTATGAGAAACAAAACCATTTTAGTATATTCTAAAAATAACAAAAAAAGTCTCTCGATATTTATTCGAAAACGATAAGTAAAACCACTCTCTATGAGACATTTATTAATGATATCAAAAATAAATCTTTATACACACTTTGCCATATCAGTTGCTTTTTCAGTTATCACTTATCGTTCGTTCGCAAGATTAATGTCAATGTGCGTGCAGTTGTAGCTGCGATCATTTATTAAACTGGTTACAATACGTTCCTACCGATTGTTTTTAGTAAATTACTCTCACTGCAAGTACTATCTTAATTTACTCGTCAGAAATCATAGTGCAGTGAAGATTTTATTGGATTGCTAAATATGGCACATTGGAAGCGACCAGAAGGACCATTAAACGTATGGAGAATCGTTGATGGTTACGAGCGAATGGAGGATGGGTCAAAAAAACCAATCAAATTTTCTATTCAAGATATTCCTGACGATGAGTCCAGACGACAGGAAGTCTTGGATCATTTTTACGATTACTTTTTAGAGGATGAGCCAGTGAGCAAATCCACAAGTAAGTATGGTACTGATCAAAAATATTAATAAAACCAAAATGAGACGATTCAGTGACTCATTTTGATAATTCCATTAACTTGTATAATTCAAAATACATTCGCTCAATCAGTCAAAAGAATATTTACAATCATTGTTAATCACTTATAATTATTTTATGATTTATTTTTTAAATATTAATTTGTTTTGAAATCAATTTCGCAAAAATGTTTTTTGTAGAAATCAAACAAGATCCAGATGGTGTAGCTGATTTTCAAAGTGTTTGGAATTATGCCTTGGATCAAAGAGTAGTTATAGGTTGTTATAAGTTAGACTCGGACGGAAAAATTGATAAATTAGTTGGAGCCAATATTGTTTTCATGGTGACAAAAGATTCTTCCAAAGATATGGTATGGATTTGATCAAAAAGATGAATATTTTTGATTTATATCAGGTATAAAACTTTTTAATCTATTCACAGAAAAATTTTAAATCTGAGAACTTCAAAAAAATTTGGCGACTATTCGAAGATCTCGTGAGCAATGCAGATGTTTGCAAAATCTATAATGTTGATAAATACATTAGTTCGATAAGTCTTAGTGTTTTACCAGAGTATCGTGGACAAAAACTTGGACAATATATTCTAGAAACGAGGTAAGTTATTTCAGTGAACTTTTTTTATTAAATTTTATGGAATAAACATTGTTTCACAACATGATAGTTTGACTGGACAAAGAATGTGGCAAACTGTACCGATTATATTCTGTTTTAAGTAGTGATTACTGACCACTTCACTCAAAAAGAAACTTAAAAACAAAATGAAATAAAACGATAAGGATAAAAGTCATATTTTCGAACATTATTTTTCTTACTCGAATGAGATACTAAAGTCCGACTAAAGAGGAAAATTGTAAAACTTTTTTAAGATTTTCCAAGAATATTTTTTTTTAACATGATTATCTAGAAAACTAGAAAATGAAGCAATTCGCGTATCTTTAAAAAAAAATATATCCTGCGGAAATGTTTACCTTAGCTTTGGTATTCTCCTTACCTGAATGAACAAGCATACAACATTATGATTTTAATTAAAATTTTAGAGACGACTTGGGCAAAAAATACGGTTTTCCTGCAACCTCTACGATGTTTACAGCAGCAGCATCACAACGTCAAGCAGAGCGCGCCGGATTTGAGGAAAAATTTTCTAAAAATTATGCAGATATTGTAGATGAGAATGGAAAGCCTCAATTTCCTAACATCACTTCTAAGTGTGTAAAAATTATGATGAAACGTTTTGCTCATTAAAATATTTTTATGAATTTATTTCCAAAATAAAATATTAAATAAAACGAACTATTAATCTATGAATAGATCATTGATTTAAAGAAACTTTTTCGCAAATTCAGAACGTAGATTTATTTTGTTTAATATATAAGTAAGTTATCCTGATTTTTTTGAGAAAATCATACTCTATATAAAAGTATTTAATTCTTTCGATACAAATTTTCAGGATATAAAGATTTTATTTTTTTATGTTAACTGTCAATCGCTGCAAAGTTGCTGATATCAAATATCCTGTAGGATCTGATATCTGCGAAAATGTTTGATTTAATATGGGAGTTGCGAGAAATTGCGTTAAAAAAGATAAATTTGAACTTTCATCAAGAAAAAATGAATGAGGAAACATCTTGCGCGGAAAAAACTTTCAACTGACGCACGATAGAGCCATTCAGTTATTCAAATTGTTATATTGAGTCACAAAAAAAGGCGAAAGAATTTTCAAATAGAAAAACCTTGAAAACTTTCCCGATAAAACGACTATAATCAAGTGTATTTTAATTTTATCAAAAGAATTATGCAATCCTCCGTAGCGAGGAAGCTTACAATGTTTTATCACGATACGCGGATACTTTTCTCCGAGAAAAACGAGAGACGCGGCTTCGCTGCTCGCTTCTCGCGCACCGCCGGCACACCACCACTACGCCGCGCACTTTTATATCTTCCATGGAGATGTTTATTAGACTTTAAAAGTTGGTTGACCGAGGACGCGGCTGCAGAGGCGAGCATAAGTGCACGCGAGATGTGCTTTTGTTCCCGGAATAGACGATGGGAGGCCCTTCCATCATTGTGCATTGTGCTCACCCCATGATGCAAATTACGTTCTTCGTAGCGAGAGAGAGTAAATGGGTAGTCGGCTAAAACGCTTGGCCGAATACAACAGGAGCGCGAAATTTTCTGGCGAAAGAAGCGCCGACCGAATATAGATCCGCAGGCTATGAGTGGAGGAGAGGGGTAAGTATGCACGCATCCATGGTCCATTTGGCCCTTCTCTTCCGGGCGTGATGCGTTTGGTATGTCTATATAGATGGAAGATATCGAGGCACGCACCCCATGCCCTCGCTCGTTGAGCGAGTAATGATATGCACGCACATGCGTATACGCGCGGCACGATCCGTCCGTCGCTGCTTGGCATGATCCGTCGCGCGAGCTGACACGAGAGAGGGGCTCGTCGACTACATGTACTGCCTATACGATATGCACCGACGTATATCTCTTTATTATATCTATGTATGCGAGAGATGAGCGCATCGTATGAGATGGCGAGGATACATTATATATTACGCGCGTGCGACATATTCATATATAGTTGGAGCGCGGCGATTCGCGCCAGTGTACGCGATAACGTGTCAACATAACGGTTGCCGCTGTTGCTGCTGCTTCTCGTCCGTCGGTGCTCTGGCGGCGAGTTTTACGAATTATCGCGCAGTGTGTGACGATAGATTCGCCGAGAGCCTCGATGTATGTGCGTGTGTATGCGTGTGACCAGGCGCTATACGCAAATTAATTTTCAATTTTATATACACAGGCATACACGAGCATACGCTCGGCAGTAGCAGCGACAGACTCCGCTACTGTGCACAGGAGCGCGTATCATTAGTACTATCGCGCCTGTCGCTATATTCGCGTGAGTAAGACATTTTTCGCTTACAATATATGTATATATATATATCCATCACGCATGACATTCTTTTTTTCTCATCTTTCCGCGTGTATATTCAACAACAACGCGCGGTGTGCCACCCGCTGCAATTGACCATCTATTCATTCACGCAAGCGTCGTATATTTTCGCTTCTCTCCTCGCCTATATCCGCTATACTATGATTTTCCGCTCATTGTCTTCGCAGCGTATACGCGAACATTTTTATAATGCCTATGAATCCGCGACATTTCTATGATTTCATAGGTCGAATTCGCACGGCTTTAATTGCGTATATTGGAAATCAAATTATTGAATACTGCACACGCTTTCTATATAGTTTCGACAAAAAATATATAATGATCAATGCGACAACGGTCGCGAGCTACTGGGTGGAAAATTTAATTTCTTATAAGAATTAGCGCTACTATGTGTATCGTGTGGCATGCTGTGTATTATTTTGAACGAGTTATGGCAAAAAAGTACTCGGTTCCAGCCACACGATGTAACGAGACTTATCGATTTTGATGGAATTGTTTTTCTACAATTTTTCCCGCAGTAACACTGATAACAACTGCGACGGAATCAAATAAACAGCTCATCGTGTCATTTTCAATGTATACGTGTTCGCGAAATTCTATAAAAAATGTCGACTAGCAATCTTCAATAATTAAGACTATATCTGTTGAGCAAACATCGAAGATAGCTGAGAATGAGAGTTAAGTTGATTATTTTGGGCGGGCATCACTATGATGTAGCATATATGATTTTGGACACACAATTGTTAGTCTCTTTGATAAATAAGTTGACTCTTCTTCCTGTCAACGAAAGATATCCGTAAGTCATTAGGTAATTCTGCACGTGGGTACGTATATAAAATCGGAAAGTAGAAGCGGAAGACTCAATTGTCCAGCAGCCCTATCGGATGATCTCCAATGGCAAACAGACTGCGCCGCGTAATGAGAATTGCACCCATCGCACACGCGTCAAGGTAGAGCTTGTAAACTCGGTTTGCACTTTGACACGTGACCTACTTTTAGTCTTTTTGCGTTTAATCGTCCGTTGTAGTTGTAAAGTGTAATTCGTAAAAATATCCGCGAAATTTCCTCGGTGAGAATTGCGATCGTTTAAAAGTCACTTTAACACGTATCACGCCAACTAATGCGTTGTACATACCCGTCTTGCGTTGCATTTAATTCTGAAATTTCGACGACGCGCACACCATACATAATTTTTCATTTAAATTAGGTACTTGTGCATGTAACTTTATTTCAGTTTAAACTTATCTTTGGACATCGTGAAAATCGTTTCGACGAAATTCCGTGTCTCTGCTAATGTGTTTGTGTGTGCGTGCGTGCGAGCGGGTGTCGTCAAATGTGAACGATATAGTGTGAGATGATGAGCATATTTTAAACACAAAACTTGTTACTAAAAACATCATGAACATTCGAATTAACTAGGATGTAATGTGAAATCATTTAAAATTATATAATAGTTCAACAAAATTGCAGAGGGGACATTTATGCTTTAACAGTATAAGTCATACCAGTAGAGCAAAGTATCAAAATTATTCCTATTCCTCGAATGTGCAGAGTCATAAAATTTGCTCGATCACTGAATTAAGCTGTGAGATCTCGTAAACGCACTTGCAATTTTCCAAAATTACTCTGAATACGTAGATATTTTAGCTTCGTAAACTAAACGTAAAACAAATTTATGAAAAATAAAAAAAATTAAATTTTTTAGTGTCTCAAATGAATTTAATCATTCAATACCCTACATTTCTTAATTTTGTTATTTTTGAGCACTAAAAATAATTTAGTTGTGTTTAGTTCGATAAAACATTTATAACATTTTCTATAAATTTTTTCAGTGAGTTTGAAATTAAATACGTCATTAATCGAAAAAAAATGGTGGATGAAAGTAACAACGATGTCAAAAAAAGACAAACTATTAAAAGCTGGAATCGGCCGGATGGGCCTTTGAACATTTGGAGAATAATTGAGGGCGAAGAACATCAGAATGATGGTACGAAGAAAAAAATAAAATTCTCCATCCAAGATATTCCTGAAGAGCATTATCAAGACGTCATAAAGCACATGTGTGACTACTTTGTTGCCGATGAAGTCACTTGTCAATGTTCAAGTACGTAGATATATGTCTTCGATGTAGGAAATTTTTCTTTGCAAATTACTGAAAATAAATGTTAAAACTCGAGAATTTATAACGGAAATGGAAATATAAATTAAATATTGATATAGTTTATGTCATTTGCAGAAATTAAAGATGATGAAGAAGCATTGAATGATTTTCGGATTTTGTGGGACTATTTATTGAAAATAGGAATCAGTGTAGCCGCCTACAAGCTTGATTCGAACAATCAAATTCAAGAGCTAGCCGGAGTCAATATTCTTTTTCCAGTAACCGACGAAATAGAAGAGGCAATAGAAAATTTTATGGTTAGAAAAAATAAATTTAATTGTTTAAAAGTTGTTAATAATGCAAAATGACATCATTTATTAATTAATTTTCCTTACTACAGAAAAATTTCAAATCTCAAGGCTCTCGAAAAATATTTGAATTTATGCATGATCTGAACGAAAAAGCTCCCGACGTTCGTGATATCTACAAAGTTGACACATACATTTCAGCGTTGGGTCTCAGTGTTCATCCCAATTTTAGAGGACAGAAACTTGGAGTCAGACTTCTTGAATCAAGGTGAATTATCTATTCGTGAAACATATCTTATTTGCGTAAAAATTCAAGTTGAAAAGTAAATTTTCTAAACGAACAGGACCTTCTATTTATTAAAGGAATAACGAATTATCATCACTGACATAAACAAACATGCAGATATCCTCCAATCTAGTCAATTACTTATTCATTAATTTTGACTTTTAAAACAAATAGTAATTTTACATAGATTTTTTATAGATATTGGATTTATCGATCATGACTTAATCATTCATTTAATTTCATTAATTTGAATAAAATACAAAATTATAATTTCAATTGAGCTATTTATATTTTAGAACCGACATAGGACGCAAATATGGGTTGACCGCAACTTCGACGGCTTTTACAGCACCGGCATCTCAAATACAAGCGGAAAGAGCCGGTTTCGAAACGGTGTTCGAGCAAGACTATGCTTCAGTTCTTGATGACGAAGGATCTTTAATTTTTCCCAATATTAAATCAAAATCAGTGAAAATTATGATCAAAAAGTTGAATTAAATAGCCAAATACAACATCCACCTTTTTGATTATGTGTAAGATGTAAATACATGTAGATACGTACATTATTAATGATTAATTTAATGTAAATAATCAAGTTTTATTAAAGTCAGATGAATGTAACTCTTATTTTATTAAATTTATAGCGAAATAATTTAATATATTTGTTCTTTGTCTTGTAACAAGATTTCGTTCACGTATTATCTGACGGTATTTACATGAATATTAAGTATTGAAAGTATCAAATGAAAACTCGAGCATCGACTTAAGTCATCTTTTGTTATTCGTGTTTATTTAACTCTTCATCGCATATGTTTGAGTCTTTGTGCTCTTTATCTCATTTCCATAGTCTATTGTAATTGCAAATACCGTTTATTTTTAAAATAACTATTATGCCCTTACAGAATAATCAAAGAAATTTCGAAACATAAAACGAAGTTCTCTTTTAATCCAATGCATATCAATTCGAAAAATAATATGATGGGGCAAACTTACAGTCTGTTGGATAGTGAACTACTATATGTACTTTTTCCGTATTAAAGAAATCTGATACAATAATAACGTAGGAGATAAAGCGTTCATTCTTTTGTCAATGTATTTATGTCATTTTTTCTATTTGTTAAATGCCATATGTATATCCTGATAATAAAATAATCGGATAAGCTATTTTTTTATTTAACTTCTCCCAACAACTCTATTTTATTATTGCCGAGGATAATTAATTAATCGCTCCATGACATCTTTTTCATTTTGAGCCATACTGTAAAATGTTAATATTAATTGAAAATTATTTGACTTCTTTCAAAGTGAACCTTCTATCTAATTAATTAAATGTTTTATTTTATGTAGTACTTTTTCAACAATAAATTGAGTTGAGTTGTTTTGTTTCGAAAAGCGGGTTATAATTTTTGAAAAATGAATTTTTACATTTTAAATCAGTAGCATGAAAATCCAGTGCAGTGATTAAAAACTTTCAAACATTTTGGGACTTATCAAAGAATATAACTAGTGAAATTTAAGCGCGCTAAAATCCAAAGATACGCGTTGATATACTTTTACGCGAATACAACTGCACAATGCCGGAAGCTTAATAGCAGCTTCCCTCGATTACATAACTCGAAGTTTCTTCTTAAGGCTGTAACAAGAGATCTGCGCATCGAGTTGTTCTCGCTAATTTTCACATTTTCATTCAATTGCAGGTTTTCGTGGATAATATAACATCACTTTATTTTATATTTACACGCACATATACCCACACGTCGTAAAATCATTTGGAGACTTTAAATGTGTTTAGCTAAACGAGAGTTGGAATTTGTCGACGTCTGTGCGACAGTGGCAACGACGGCAGCAAGCGGCAGCAGCAGTAGTCTTTGCTATTTTCGGTAGAGGTAAGCTCAATATGCAAGTTTACATTCTATAACTGACTGAGATGTGATTTAATGGGGAGTATAAGTAAGCAGTGTTGTAGATAAACTTCAAACTGCATGGCTTATCGCAGTTGATTATTTAACCAAAAAACGTTTTTACGCGTGTACGCTATATATTTCTTTCATCATAATATAGATACAAATTCTTTACTGACACTTATTTCGTATAACAATGATGTACATTTTTCCTATCGCATTTCATAATATTAAAATTATTTGAGATATATTATCACATATAGCTTTATATTTTCAATAAGTATGGATGATAAATTGCCAAAGACTTGGCAGAGGCCTGCCGGTCCATTAAATGTTTGGAAAATCATTGAAAGTACAGAAAAATTAAGCGATGGATCAACAAGACCGATTCGGTTTTCTATTCAAGAAGTTCCGGTGGATAGACGAGAGGAAACTATAGATTTCATGCTCAAGTATTACATTCCCGATGAGCCTATTTGTAAAAGTCTTAGTGAGGAAAACATAATTAAGCAATAAAAAATTTAATGAATTTCGATACATTTTAAATTAATAAAAAATTTTCGGTTTCCATTGCATAGATTGTAAAAATGATCCAGATATGATTCATGACTTTCAAGTATGTTGGAAGTACTGTTTAGAGGAAGGCTGCGTTGAAGCGGCTTACGTACTTGGTTCTGATGGGAGCATAGGTGAACTGGTTGCTTTAAATATGTTATATGTTTCTTCTAAAGCAAACGACCAAAAAATATTTCAACTAATGGTATTATAAAAATACGAATGAATAAACGTATTTATCATCGCATAAAATGTTCACTTACATTCCTTACCGAATCAATATTTGCAGGATAGCTTTAAATCGTCGAAATTTAAAGCATTGGCAAAAATCATGTTGGATGCAAAAGAGACGGCTAACTGTTCAAATATTTTAGGCGTTGATGAATATATATCTGCAATCGGACTTGCGGTCGCAACTCATCTGCGGGGACAGAAGCTGGGCTTGCGACTTCTAGAAGCCAGGTAGCATTTATTACAATTCTTATTTTCATTAAAAATTGTTATTGATACTTTGTTTTAGTTGTTTGCTTTGTCTAATTACTATTATAATCGTTTATTTTTAATAGAAGCAAGCTCTTATTTCGAATACTGAATAAAGCATAAAAATCTCACTTATTAACTAAATCTCTTGGTAAAATTAAATTTCCCAAAGACTTTAAATTTTATAATTATTGATGACCAATAATGATAAATTACTGACTAAGTTTATCATTACATAGAAGTGAAATGGGTAAGAAGTTTGGTATAAAAGGAACATCCACAACATTCACAGCAAAAGCTTCCCAAATTCTAGCCACAAGGGCGGGATTCGAAGAAAAATTTTCATGGAACTACGCTGACATAATCAACGACGATGGCACTCCTTTTTTCCCAAATATCGAAACAGAAAATTTTAAAATTATGACCAAGAAGTTTTAATTGTATTCTAGATAAATAAAAAAATCTCTTTCTTAAAATTGAACAGTTTTTTGCAATCTCCTTTACAAATTCTGTAGCCAGAAAACGTAGAAGAAAATTCGTTGAACTTATTTTATTCGTTTTTGAAAAAAATTAGCTTCATTGAATTAACTTAAAAATTATTTGGTGTCTGATTCTTAAAATTAAAAGCTCTAAATCTTATGAAGAATTTTTATAATTTATGTAGCTAAGTGATGTAGCTAAATAATGTATTACATAGCTTTTTCCGATTCGACTTTGATTCAGTTTGATTTAGAATTAGTTTTCTCATTTAGTCTGCGTAGAAAGTGAAATAAATTATACGTTGCATATGGAGAATATCTGATAAATGAGCAAAGTCAGCGATAATATATAGAAATTCGTTCCCTGCAGCATGTATAAAAAATACTGGATGAATCACGCTCGCGACTCAAAGCCATGATGGACCAATTAGAGTCGGCATAAACCTTGGAACAACTTTGGTACGTCGAATAAATTACGCTTGCTTTATGCATCAGTAAGTTTCTTTTCATTTTTGCGGGAAATCGAGCGAAAGATTGAGATCTCGAGCATATTATATCGAGCAAAAATTTTAACTATATAACATCGAGAAAGGGCCGGAGCGCGTCGAGCGTGCACCAATTGTCGAAAACAACGTCGAATTATAATGTATAGCCTCGAGGAGATTGAGATGTATTTTCATAAAATACATATCACAGTTGAGCACATATTATACTTGCTTACATAGTGATCGATCGAACGGCAATGAACAATACCTGGCAGCCTGACATATTTTGTTTGTCCAGTGTCCGGTGGAAGTGCAAATTTAATTTTCCCTGCGGAACCCGCATAGAACGATGCGATGATCAGCAAAATAAACGCAAAACGATGTTCTTTTATAGACTTTGTCACTTCACGTAAAATTTGGTGGATTTTAATAAATTTAATGTAAAAATACATTTTTAGTATCAGTATAGTTTTCTAGACCCAGTACAAAATACATATTTTCAATTGTACGATTATTTTACATGATTAAATTATTAGGACTGGAAGGGATCTTTCAATTTTAGCCGAACACGTGCCTGGTTTAAAGGTATGTAACTGGATGATGTTATATTCGTCAAATTTATTCTAAAAAATGTATGATCGCAATTGTAAAACTGTATCTGTACATATACGCTTCGAATATAAATCAATTCGATTAGCTGATTATTGATTATCGATACTGGAAAGGAAAAATGAAATTTCGATGCTGTTCTACAAATGGACGAGCTTTTTTTGTCCAATATCCTGGCGTGCTGTTACATATCCATGCGCGTTGCATTATTTCCTCAATTTACCGAAGCTCGCTAGCGAGAGACTCGAGAGCTAAGTATATAAGAGCGATCCTGTAACGGTTGGCAATGACTGACTATAGGGCCGTGGCGCTTAATTAGTTTGCGCGATCGTTTGAATTATACAGACGATTGGAGTGCAAAAATATCGGTAAGAGCAGCACACGCAGCACGACGAGTCCGTCCAGTCGGGAAGATGGAGCTCGTGGAGCAGAAATAGCTCACCTAAGCTGTCCCTTGATCTTGACTCGCTATATTTCTTCTCGGATGCTTCTGCTGATGCTGCTGCTGCTGCAGTCGTGCGTATACTCCCACGGAAACTATGACGTCAAGCCTGGCTTGTGATCGCAGAAAAGCTCGAGCTACGTACCTATATATTCTGCACTCCCGTCGTCGGAGTCGTCGTCGTCGTCGTCGTACGTGTGTAAATGCAGCACGTCGGTCCTATCATCACCCCGCGAGACGCGTTTATAGGCGCGCGTGCGTAACGTTGCCGGCGGTGGCTGCTACTGCACAGAGAGAGAGCGAGAGAGCGAGAGCCCCGGTCCCCCGAGTTATCCAGCAGCAACACGCGGCCAATATCAGCAGTCAGTCGTGGGCCACGCGCCACCAAAGACAACTGCACCTCCTATGTATACACGTGTATTATGCCATTGGCATCGCCGTCGCGCACATAGTCCTGTCGCGATAGATCGCCAGTGTCAGTAGTCCCTTTGTGCCACTCGACTTGTTGCACGTGTGCGATCGACCGGTCTTGATACCGATTTCGTTCTATCGATGACTGTTCTCGTCTCAATGACTTTTACGTTCATGGCTGGTGCGATGACTAGTTTTCCAAGAGAATCACTTGTATGCGACGTTGACATTGTGCTGTAGTGTTGTAGGTAAAATTGTACAATTGTGAGCGTTGTTCGTACGACCGACGCGAGTTCTGATGAAGCGTTTGTAAAGACAAATAAGTCTTAGGATTATTAATTTATCTTTCCACGAGAAGATGTGAGGTAAGAATATTTTTTTTAATAATAGTTAGTTTTAATGAAATTTTCCTATACTCTTATAATTTCATACTTAACGGATAAGAATTTTCCATACATTTTTCATCATAATGGTGTTATTCAGAAATTCAATTTATCACACGAAAATTATTGACAATTTCAATCAAAGAGCTATGGATTATTAATCGATAGGTTCCTCGATTACAAAAATTATCACAAAAAGGATTAATAAAAGTGCATTATTTTAAACTTCTTGATTGATGTTAATTTAAATTAGAGTAAAAAAGTAGGAAAAAATAGCGGCGCGCAAACGTTGTATTATATTAAAGTACAATTCTTTTGTCATCAATTTCTTTACTGAGATAAATTTCATTCTGTTTCAAAATAATCAAAGCTGATTCCAACTATTATTATTTTAGATAATTTCGAGTGCAATTTTTGGGAAAAATAATCAATAATTAATTGAAGATGCGATTGTAGGTAATTGCATTGCTCGAATAATTTAATTACGCACGGTATAAAATTAAATTTTTGGCATTGAACATCTGTTTTTAAGAGTTTTCGTGTCATATGGACAATTTTTTACCGTTGCTTTACAAAAGTTCCAATCCACTGAAACTTTTTATTTTGGGCATTGTTATGATCTGGTACTTTAATACTTTGACTCTTTTAAACTTTGAAACTTTTAGAAATTGGAACTTTCGGTTTAGAACTTTTGAGTAGGTACTTTTCGATTACCACTTTCATAACCCATTCATTTATGATTTTAACATGTGAATTTTCTTTTTTTTTTAATGTTTGAAATCATTGATTTTAATAAAAAAGATATTCCAATTGGTTGATTAATAACTTTTTATGAATACTTAATAAACTAACAATTATCGATTAAATAATTCATTAAGCTTTTGTTGCTCTTGATCCTGGCGAGAAAAACGAACGGAAGGTGATAAATATTCATAAATATCTTGAAAAGCAAAAACAATCATCCGGGCTAAACCACATAGCGTTATCACACCATCAGCCGCAGTACCATTAAATGCGCAAATATGCATACGCACGTGGGATAACGACAGTATTCAAACGCGTCGAGAAATGTATACACACATTAACATCCGAGCAACAGAGTAATAAATACAGTCCACGCGCGCACAGCGGCAATATCTTCCGGGGCGATGAATATACAGAGAATTGAGGAAGAGCCTTTGCGATGCATCGCGTGGCGCCTCGAGAGCCTTTTCCAACTGCTGTTTCTCTGGCGGGAACACATGTGACAATACTAAACAAATGAATTTCCGTCAAATGCACGACACAAGTCAGTCGAACATAGGTATGTGCGAAGTGGGTGGATGCCGCTTAGAGATACGCAAATAGCACACCCAGCCAACCTTTTGTCTGCTTACTTATTTTTCAACCCCGTTACACATTTTGAGTTTCATGGCTTTTCAATAATGGCTTCGGATTGAATTATTAAATTTAATAGCGAATCCGTCGAGAATTTTGGGCGATGTTTTGTGGCAAAGTCCGTAGTTTGTACTCAATCTGTCTTCGAAGTTTTGTTTTATGTCTTTCGCCTATATACATTGGTAAAGAAATACTATTTAAATCAACTTCGAGTAATAATTTTGAATACCTTAAAATAGAAAATGTCATCATAAAAATCATTGATATTTTAATAATGTTCACGTAGAACTGCATTTTGTGAGGTGGATTATCTGTAAAATAAAACTGCATTGTTAAAATAATACGAATTTAAGAACGGCTCAAGATAATTTTTTAACGACTCATGCTATTTTATGCGTACTATCTATAGTTTCATCATAAAGTTTGCAAAACAAATTATTTATGTTATTGTCGAAACAAGACGCAGGCGCTGAATCGAAACTGCATTGACGTGATTAAATAAAGCTTGCAATACAACCAGATCGAACTGTTTTAAAAATACGAATGTCATTTACGGCTCAGCGCAATGCATTTCGTGTCATTTATGAGAAGTTTCTTTTATTTGTATTAAAATCACAAATGATGGCGAAATTATTGTACGACTCGAGAGTATAATGTACTTTGAAGCTATGGCTCTATTTACTTATATCAAAATAAACTCCTTTTTTCGCTGACTTGAACTTAATAGACTTCACTAATGAAAATCGTAAAAAAGACTTTGTTAGACTTTTAATTATGAACTTTTCTTTTTAAATACTAAGTATGCAGTCTTCTTTTTTTTTTAATAGACCTCGGAAATGGATACTTTTCGATTGTGCGTCGATATAATAAAATGAAATAATTATATTTATCTTGCAATTTTGGATCTATAAAGTGAAAAGTTCTCATCCTTGGTATTGCACACATTATAGTGTATAAGTTTAACACATTTAAACTTTATAGATTTTGAAGTATTTTAAGTTAACGATGTTATCTAAAGCATCTAGAAGTTGTTAGTAGATACACGATAAACGGGGCAAAATAAAGTTCGATAGCTTGTGTAGCTTTACTTAGCGAGGCATTTTTACGACTTGTAAAACAAGTACCCGAGATTTGTGCCATTAATGAGTTTTTTTTCTTCGTGCTACATAACTTTTATTGATACATCATTTATCAATTTTATAAATTCTATTGCTTCAGTCGACGAAAGTTGTAGATTTATCGAAACTTGATACATTTTATGTAAAATAATTTTTTTACCGCAAGAATTAAATTAAATGTTATTAAAGAAACTGATCTTTTTAAAATCATTCAGTGAAAATTATGTTCACATATAAGATTTTTTTATAAACTTATTTTCTTCCATTTTTGTAATTAAAATAAGTAGAAGAAATTTTAATTCACATTATTTGTAATAATGTAATGTATATTTTTCGTACAAAAAAATTTTTTCTACCAGAGAAAAATTGTGCGAAAAATTATCTTGTTCTAGATATAAATTTGTAAGCACATTATCTTCTCAAGCATTGCATTTCTGAGAAATTCTATTACAGTCATTTGTTTAAACAAATTATTTTAACAATTTAATTTTGCAAAATTTATAATAAATTCGATATAAGTGAGCCCAAAAACCTTGATAGGAAAAAGTAATAATATATTGGGTATGAAAACAAAATATTTATGATTTATTTGCATAACTATTTAAATAATAAAAATGACATAATAGTATATTATGATACGTGTGAAAAATATTCATTCGTCACATAAAAATGAATCATTATTTCTATCAAATTGTTTCAAGTACAAAGAAAATAAGATAATTACACAATTAAATTAAATATGAATAAAGGTATCATTTGCGCGAAAAACGAATTTCAATACGTACTTTGCCCACAGTACAGAAGTTAAGGTAACGAGTCATCGGTTAAAAATCAATAATTGCATCTGAAGTTCTATGCAACTCCATCATATTTATTCTGATTAAGTTTGTTCATAAACTCAAAACTTCTCATGATTTTTGTTTCAGCAATGTTTATGAGGAACTGACTGATGTATTAAATAATTGAGCAGAACAAAGCATCGTCAATCACAATGATCCCAAATCAAAGACGTTTTGTACATAAACCAAATTCAAAAATACAGAGTCTTCAAGGTATATTCGAAGATATAAATTTACAATTTGTAGTTCTATCCAATTTAAAATACGGTGATTAGTTAAAGTATGATTCTACATGTTGTATAAAATTTAAATTGCAAAAAAAATTAAAAAGTCGAAAAAAACTTTCATGAAAATGGAGTTAAATACCGCAGATACAGCAATATCAACTGATATAGAACTCAATAATTTTCACGTTCTTCTGCGTATGACAAACTCTAGCGACAATGCCAGCTATTTCAATTCAAATGATGAAATTGATCCTTACTACTTTTATGAGGTAAGTTTTAGTTAATTATACACATTTTACAATTACAAAAAATAACTGCGTGAAATCTTCGTGAAACTCTTTTTGTTAATATTCAATAAATTATTTTCCCTCAATACTCAAGTTTCATTCCCGCTGACTGGGAGCGTTTCCAAATTAGCAAATTATTAACACCTCCTTTTATAACAAGTGAAACAAATTTGTTTCAGTATTTGGTAGCCTTTTTTAGATATTTTTTTTAATTATTTCATCAAAGAAAACACTGGGAAGTATAATAAAACCCTCATGGTTTTCTTTATTATTCGTATAATATGAATTTCTCCATGGAAATTAAATATATCGATTTCCGTAAACTTGTGCCCGCAGCTAATCCCATGTATATGATGAACAGTTGTTTTATACGTTTGTATGGAAATTTCTTGATCTACTATACTAGTTTATTCCAACCGCTTATTCAATCAGCTACGTTTTCATTTTAAAACTCATATCCTTGCAGACGGATATTTTAGATCATATTGAAATAAATATGATGCAGACAAAACCAAAACTATTAGCGAATATTTTTCATCTTTTCTGCTTGAAAAAGTTACAATTGTATTACGATTATGTCAAAGTACTTCAATCGTTGAAAAAAATATATCGAATGCAAAACAAATACCTGAAATCAAAGGAAGATTTATCGTTTCATTTTTTTTCAAACGATATTCAATTAAAGGTATACCGTAAGTCATAGCATTATTTTCCTTGAATTTCCAAGTGTAAAACGTTGTTTCGAAGATTGTGAATGCAGAAAAGTAGAAGATCTATTTCCTTTGATAAAAAAAATATTTACCAACTATAAACAGAATTTTCAAACGAACATGTATACTACATTTATAAAGTAACAGGTATACTGTTTTTAGTACTGTTTCTGTAGTGCTAAAAAAGTTTTGAATATTCAACCTAATATTTTGGTTTCAGTAGATCTTTTTTTGAATCGGTTAATACAAATTAGTAAATTTATATGGGCAATAGTAACTTTTTGTGTATCATTACTACTTTAACCCTGAAATTATCTTTGTACTACTTGTGACAACCATCAATCGAAAAATCGAAAAATGTAATCTCTTGCTTTAGTATGCTTTGATAATTTCTGATGATTTAAATGCACTCTTGGAATCTGGATATTACATGGAGAAAATACTTTCTTTTTACCATGTTGATTATGTACATGAAGTTATTATCTTGTTTTTCTTGCCTCAGGTGTATTCAAGTTCAAACACAGCTTATCTGTTTTATAAAAGGATTTTCAAATTACTTCGAATAAATAAAAAATGTTTTTAGACCACTTGCTTTACATGATATCATCCAATTTTATTTCATTGATATTAATTCCGTATTATTTAAAGTTCACCTATTCCAAATTTGAGCATACAACAAGTTTAGGTATAAAAAAAAATTTGTAGCTTCACATCTTTTGTTAATTAGAGAAACTACGTCTTGTGTACAAAAGTTTTCTCGTGCTTATGTATTTATAACTTGAATGAAGTTTGAGTTCTTGATGAAGTTACAATGCACGTATATACCGTGTGTGCTCTCTACTTGCGCTCTCTTAGCTACTAACAATTATTACCGCAAATTGTGTATGCAAGCTGAATCGTGTACATAATTATATTATCTGGCCAGCATTGGGTTTTATCACTTAAAGCTTTTTTTAGAATACTGATTGCTATAAGTATTTAGCGATTTTTATACCATCCTTTTATGATAAACCCATGTTTCACTCGGATTGTTTGTATATTCTTAAATTACTCTTTTGTTTTGATACTTGATACTTGGCTGGTAATAACATTAAGTTTTTATTTATTTACTGTATACTCGCTTTTCTTATGCACAAACTTCTGAAATTTCTAATTTATTTATTCTAACATCTAGTGTCTAGAAAAAAAGATACACGGAACAATATTAGTACACATTAAAAGTTTCCGTAGTGAAACTGAATATCTTGATCCGCCTCTTTTACTTACCGAGCTTTAAGGAAAGTTGAAATTTAATGGTCTGGAACAATCATCGTGTAGCTCGAAACCTTCCCAGAAAAATTTCTTACTTCATTTATCCAAATAACCGCATTGAAATTAAAAAGTTGCAAGAGCCAGAATGAAAATTAATTTTTTTTTCAATAGGTTTTCACAAATTCTTACTGGAATGATGAGCTCTTAGAGTGCACAAAATTGTATTATATTTTCAAACGAGCTATTCTAGTAGTTTAAAATCAAATATAGTTTTTCACTAAAAAAATCTAAAAAATTCCAATCTATTGTTGATATCTTATTCATCACATACTTGCAGCGTTAAACTGAGCTCAAAGCTGAAGAAATTAAGTTAGAAGACTCTATGAAGTGAAGCAGTATATATTTAAAAATACAGCAACTTAACTCGAGGCTCAGGTAGAATTGTTAAAATGATCTTATAATTACAGCTCTCAAAAGGAAATGTAAGCTGTATAGAGCAAAATTGATTTGGCAGGAAATTAAGATAAAGTTTACACTTTGTCCGCCAGGACATTGCTTGTACCATGTCTCGTTAATGAGAATCAGATGGAGGGGAAAAAGCGAACTACCTTTCGACCAGCATTAACTTGGGGACGTTCGAGCTTTTATGCGTCGATCGTGCAAGAGATTCCATAGAAAGACGAAAAACAAACATTTCAAGTAAATCAATGAAGTGAGGCTATTTGAACACTTCTTGAAAAGTTGAGACGTTGAAATACCTGCTTTTTCGTACGGGATGATATTACCCAAAAACCCGCATTGAACAGTTCTTTTGTATTTACCATTCACAAGAGTAAATTAAAGTTCTATATCTAATTATAAGGCTTACTAGAACTGAAGAACTAATTAAAAAACAAGTTGTTCAAATTCATTCAGAAAATAAATTAGTTAGATACCATCTATTAATATATAATAAAATATTTTGCCTCGTATAACGCTTAGTGCAGGAATAATCTATTCTATCAAATTCCATATAAATGGTATTCAATTTCGATAATATCAAATTAATTCGTTGTAGTTATCTAATCAATTTTATTGAAATAAATTTACTGAATTTTCTAAAGTGCGAATTAAGAATTAAATCATTGTCTAATGTCGAATGAAAATACTTAATTTATCAATTAAAATAGAAGAGAACATAACGATGAAGAAAAAAAAATACAAAAGATGAATTATGGAATAAAAGTTGAGTTAATGAAACATAATACAAAGTATGCTTTAATACGGAAAATAATAATATAAGTCCACGAGTTACAATTACTTTTTTCCTCGACAAAGCTCAAAACTCAGAAAAGCTTCAGAGGTTGGGTAATTAGTGACCGAAGCTTATAAACACGTGTACTGGGGCTTTTATTTTTATTGCTACATACGGGTTTATATGATTTCCCTCGAATTCACCAGCATAAAGCGTAATTTCTTTGTGTTTTCAGTCTCAAAAATATTACTATTGTCTAGAATAGCGTGTAAAAATTGAATAAAACTATCGGTGCATAAAACGGCTTCTTTAGGCCGGATAGATGTAATGCCTGAGACTTATTGCCGAAGAATATGATGTAACAAAAAGATTAATATCCTTTCGAAAAGGATCACAAACAGTTCGATACCTTAAGCATCTCTTAACAATAGAAAGTCTTTGATTTTTGAAAAACTGTCTCGAGAAAAAATAAATCTCTATATGAAAAGCCTTGACGAAAGCTTCAAGAGGTCGATTCGTTTCCCTTATTCGAAGTTCGACGCAGCTACCACGCGCGAACAAACATCGTTATCCAAATATAAACAAAATCACAAACACAGAAAAAATAAAGAAAGCGTAATTCGTGTCGCATCTGTCATCGAATAATTTAAATAAATAAAAAATCTACTTGTTCAGAATTTCAAAGTCGAATATCTAAACGAATAAGGAAAATCATAAAATTTGACGGGTTACGCATAAAATATGATTCCAAACAACAGATTTCGAAGTATAAAAGTTTCAAACTATCGGATTCGTGAGACGGGGACTCGCGCAATGGGAAAAAGTACGTATTCGTGAAAAACATTATGACTCGCAGATATTTTATTTTTTTCCAATAAATAAACAAAAAACTTTTAATTAATTTTTTAAATAGCTTTCACTTTCAATTTTTACGCGGTTTCGTTATAATGTTGTTTCGAAACAATTTAAAATTACCATTAACATTCCCTTGTTGCACATTTTTCCGTAAGTAAGGACAAAGTTAACATTCCATTGCTGTGCATTTTTCCGTAAGTATATAAGGACAAAGTTGTGCTTTGTCTCTGGGCGATGGTTATACGCGTTTGCTAACAAGGATAGCTACTTGATTTTAACTAAACACACAACAGCAAAAAAACATGAGAAGGGAGAGCACATAATAACGAGTAAAAGTTTAATTAATTATGACTAATTAATTTATTCAGCGACTTCTTAAGCAAAGGGACGCTGATAAGAACCGAAACAATAATCTAAGTCATTTGCAAACTCGAAGCCGCACGATGAAACGGCTGTTTGATTAGTTTGGGTTTCTCTCTCTCTCACTCTCTTCCTCTCATTTTCTCTGTTCGCGATGCTCATTTCGAATAGATGGTCCAGCTGCTGCTGCTGAACTTTTCACGCAAGATGACAGCAACGCGTGGAACTAACTTCTTTATACATGCATACGCGAATGCTATGTACTTGTGCTATCGGATATGCTCTTCGAATATTTGCATAATAATGCGAATATATTTATAGTAAATGACAAAAAGCCGGTTATCTTATTATTCATGAAAATAATACAATTACTTCTTATAAAGTTTTGAACCCGATAAATTACTTACAGTAATTATTAGAAACTTAAAAAAACAAGTTTAATGTGACACGTAATTTGTTCATTATGATACGGACATTTGTGGGCTTACGCAGAATATCAGTGAAAAGTATCGTATCTTTATTTGTTTTATATTATAATACTGATGCCATTACACCATAAAGATTAAATAAAT